AAGCATTTTTGGCTACACTTAATTTCTTACAACGTAACCATTTTCAACCCACTAAATTCTGTAGGATTTCCACATAAAAATGTAATTGTTTTAACATTGGACTTATAAAGCTTCTCTTACCACGTTTGCAGATTAGAGGATAAAAGGCATCAGGATAAATGCTTCCAGCCTGAAAAGCATCTTGGTGATTTAGTAATAACTGGGGAAAGGATTGGGGGGGAAAGGAATCAGAATTCTATTGCACAGAACAAACTACATTTTACTGTCAACATCAAAGATACATTCTAAATAGCCAGCAATATACAATTAGTGTCTTGGTGCACAAAATCTTGCTGTTATTTTGCTGTTATTAGTTTTATTAAATCTGCTTTCCCAAAGTCCTCTACTTATTCTTCTAATACAACTGCTCACATAGAATATGACTAAAGAAGATACGAAAATATGCAAGAAGCCACACAAAGAATATATATACACACATTAGTATAATTGCTATATTTCTGTAATAATATTCCAAAAGAGTCAAATTATTTTGAATAACAAAAAAGATAAAAATACAGTCTAGGCACAATATTGACATACACATTACTGAGAATAATAAAGAAAGGCAAGAAGACAGAAAGAAAAACATTCAGAAGAAAGGTGTACAAAATTAAGAAATAATATGCTTCCTACCTGTCTATAATTAACGCTCCCTTCATGCTTAATGAAAAATTCCAGAGCTCTATGTGCTGAAAAACAATATAATGAAGTGTTGATTTATAGGTACTGTGTCCAGGCCCACGTTTTGTTAGAATCACTACCACAACCAGAAGACACCACATTTTCATATATAAACTAAGCACCATGTGTATGAAACACCATTTCTCACAGAACTGAGTACCTGTGAGAGGGTGTGTTTTCTCACCTAGCGAGTTAATAAGGAAGTGCTCTTTCTGTGGCACATCTTCAGTCTCTCTTTAATCCCTAGCTCCCAAGTTGGCCAACCAAGCTGAAATCACAGGGAAATGAACTCCCCATGTCCAGAAATGAGCCACAGCAGTGAACTGACAGGACCACACCCACTACATAAAAAGTGTGGACCATAAAGTTTTAGTGTACTGTACTCAAGTTTCATTGTTGCCCTTAACAGTGAAAAAGGTATGTTGGGAATCAATGTGGGTGTTTAACAGTTTGATTAATTTTTAATATACATGAAAAGTAACAAAAATCTAAAGGTAAATCAGCAAGGTAAATAACAATACTTATTAACTGAATTGAGAGATATTCTTACTGCCAAAATCTTTATTTAGCTGGCATAACAAGTGAATGAAATCAAATTACATCCTTTTCTTTAATGAGGTCTCCTAATTAATATTAGATCCCAGGAATAATCTATCGCCATTATTCTAAAAATACTCAACATTTCCTCTAAAGATATTTTCAAAGATTAATTTGTTTCTTACCAAATAAATCACATCACAAAAAAAGCCCCAAAAAACCAAACAACAAAACAAACAAACAAAAAACTCCCCCCACCAAATCCAAAACAATCCATTACTAATATGGAATAAGATCTAGACAAAACTGTGGGGGTTTGAATGATCTTTCACTTTGAATTTTACCCAATAATCTAAATCATCCTTATACAAGTAAGATACCTTAAAGACTAGCCTTGCACCAGAAGAGAAACAGCAACAAAATAGTAAGTAATACTCTAAAATTTTAAGGCTCAGACATTTCTACACACATCTCTGATTCCAGTGTGGGAGAGCCTCAGTGTGGCAGTTTGCTTTTTCTGCTTCACACCTCCCCTGCATTTCTCTCACTACTCAAGTGGGCCCAGGCTCTACAATTCTACCTTCATAAGGATTTTATGCCAGATCCCCACGGTCCTTCAGAGCCTCACAAGTCTGACAGGAACCCCCAGGGTGAAGAGCTTCCCCACTTGGACCTGCCTCCAGGCACGGCCATGCAAGTAGGACACAGCACAGGACACTGCCTATTCAGAATGCTGATCATGTTCAGTGTGCTTGGCAGAGCTTTTCACCATTTTAAAAGTACATTCAAAACTCTGTCCAGGATTTCTTTGGTGCTGGCTTTGAGTGACAGGAATTCCTTTCTATGGTTTGTTGTTTGGGATTTTGTTCAGTTCTTTTTGTTTTGTACCCAGCATTTGAATTTTGGAAATATTTTCATCTTATCATCATAGATTTTTATGTGAACAACAATAAGAGCACTTATTTTAGCAGCATCAGAGCTGATCACAGTTTAATGTAATTTTCCGACACATGGACGAAATTTCTTGTAAACTATAACCCAATGGTTCAGTGTATGCACAACTCCTCAGACAGCCAAGATCTTTATATTACATAAACACAAGTTTTCTGCAACATCTTCTATTGATTAAAAATAAATAAATAAAAAAACTACTGCTTTGGGACAGATCTGTAAGCATCTCTTTGCAGATTTTTTTTTTCCTAACACACTCTATTCTGGCAAATCTGTTATTTCAAGTCCTCAGAAGCTCATGCTCAGTAATTAGAGCCCTGAGCTTGCAGAGTTGTGTGCACTTGCCTAACCTCAGGCAGCATGACTTCTCCTACAGATTATTATCGGTTTCTCAACACATTGTTAGGAAAAGCAAATTGTTCCAGGATGCTGACAGTGGGTACACTCAGTAAGGGAATACACTCCAGTCTCAAACACCATGAATAATCACTTTACACTTTACATTGTTCAAAGTTGCATGTATTGTATGCAGTACTTAAAGTCTGAGAAAATTACCTGAATAAAGGCAACATCCTACATTTTACCATCTGTTTGAGCAATAGATTTAGAAACAAAACCAGAAGAACAAACAACTTAAACTGACAATTATTATGAGTAACTCAGAATAACCTCACATGGCTCATGTTTGTGCTCACAAAACAGCGGAAAAAAACAGATTTTAAAAATAGCACAGGCAAACAAGAAATTCAAAACAGAAGTATTTCTCCATTTTGATGTTCACTCAGTTCTCTCCTTCATTCTCTACAAATCTAGGCTGTTCTGGCTACAGAGAGCAACCTACCAGAAAGAGACACAGAAAATTTTTATGATGTTAGTTACAGACAGAAACACATTACAGATTTTACCTACTTGTGCAGGTATGGCATAATCAATATAGAGTGATTTAAAAACAGAGTTTCCACAAAGGACTTATGCTATTCTTTAATTTAAATACAACAATCTCACAAATTGTCTAAAGTATTCCTTTTCTTTCTCCAAACCAAACTCTGTCTGTGTACGACTCACAGACAAAAACATTCCAGTTGCATAATTCCTGTGCCTTAGGGAATGGAAAAATACACAACCCAAGTCAATTCAAGCATTTTACTTACAAAAACAGTAAAATTTCATACTCCAAAATCAAACTGCTCATCTATCCTGTTATTCATATTTTTAAAATTATGTAGACTGCTCATTACTTTAACATAATTTCTTCCCTCTGCTTTTTGAATCTGAATTTACTTCACAAGAAATTCAAAACACAAGAAAATCCATTTTGAACTTGTCTTACCTATTTCAACATGTGTTGAAATTCCACATGGGATACATCTTTGACAGAAATGGTAGAGTATAATCAGCGAGACAGACCAAATCTTCAGACCAACCATGATGCTGGCTCCAACTGTGGTTTTCAGAAGCTTGAAGCAGTAGCACTGTGACCTTTGAAATGTAGGTTACGGAGCATGCCTTTTCTTTCACACATATTGCTGACACAGCAAGCAAATGACTGCCAAATTTGAAAGGCTATTTTATACCAATGCTTTCTTTTACTGCAAATAAAGTGATGTATATTAAAAAAGAAATAAACTGTGGGTATTCTCCCCACCTGAATTCTGTAATATGTCTGGGATTTGAGCAGTGTAATCAATGCATCACTGCACAGCAGCAGTGAGACTTCTGTTAAATCCAACAACATGGCAAAGAGTATCCTCTCAGAGTTTGTCCAGCTCATGGTGTTCTTTACTTACAGCAACTACATCCCATTTCACAAAATAAATTAACTCCAATTGCCAAAGAACTATCAATAGAAAAACACTAGCTCCTGATTGCAGGTGGTACAAATTCATAACTTTGGTGTGCTGATAGGATATTGCGCACTTAAGTCTGGGTCTTATCGTCAGTATTGAAAGCCCAGCTGATATGTGAGAGACTCATGGAAGTACTCCTGCCAAGTGTACTGCTATGACGCTGCAGAGGCTGGACACCCTGCGTTTCCCAGCCACCCTTCATGCATGTGGCACAGCCACACCAGTCCCACCAGTCCCCAGCGAGATGGTGACACTGGGCAGGGCTTCGCATGGCCCTTGTGCCAGAGACTCACCAGCTGTCATGGTACCCAGTAGCCCCACGGTCTCCCGTCAGGCGGTGCTCCTGTAGTTAAGTACAAGTTAGCCTGGAGAAGAGAAGACTGAGAGCCCTGAGACTTTATCACAGTCTGCAATTTCCTCAGGAAGGGAAGAGGAGGGGCAGACACTGATCTCTGTGGTGATCGGTGACAGGACCCGAGGGAATGGCATGAAGCTGTGTCACTAGTGGTTTGGGTTGGGTATTAAAGGAAGGTTCTTCACCCAGAGGGTACTTTGGCACTGGAACAGGATCCCCAAGGAAGCGGTCAGACCACCAAGCCTGACAGACTTCAAGAAGCATTTAGACAACGCCCTCAGGCACATGGTGTGACACCTGGCGTGTGCTGTGCAGGGCCAGGAGTTGGACTTGGATGAACCCTGTGCGTTCCTTCCAACACAGGATACCCTGTGACTCTAGGCTCCCGCGACTCTAGGCCTCCCCTCTCGCCACGAAGCGGGGGGTCTCGATGGGGCTCCGCGAAGCAGAAGCCCCTCCCCGGGCAAACCGGGCGGCCCGTGTCGCCGTGCCGCGCCGAGACACCGCTTCTGGCCCGGCCCCTCGGCAGCTCCTCCTCCGCGGCGGCGCGGGCGGGCCGTGCCGGGGCCGTGCCGGGGCCCGCCGCCTGTCTCCTGAGCGCGGCCATGGCCGCCCTGCTGCCGCGGGGCGCCGCCGCCACCCGCCGCCGCCTGCTGCTGCGCGCCGCGCCGCTCGCCCCGGGGCCGGCGCGGGGCGCCGGGCGGGCCCTGTCCGCCGCCCTGGTGCGCCGTGGCGGCCTGGTGGGCGGCCGATGGGTGGAGACGGCCGCCGCTTTCCCCGTGCAGGACCCGGCCAGCGGCGAGGAGCTGTGCCGGGTGTCCGACTGCGGGGCGGCCGAGGCGCGGGCGGCCGTGCGGGCAGCGCACGAAGCCGGCGCCGCCTGGGACCGCCTCCCCGCCAAGGTGAGCGGCCGCGAGAGGTGGCGGCGAGGGGGCCCCGGGGCGGCCCGGTCCGGTCCGGCCGGCTCTCCCGGGGCCGCGCTTCCCCGTGCCGGCGTGCGGCGGCCACGGCAGCCTTGTCTCTCCCTCCTCCCAGGAGAGGAGCGCGCGCCTCCGGCGATGGTACGAGCTGATGATGGAGAACAAGGAGGAGCTGGCGCGGATCATCACAGCCGAGAACGTGAGTGGGGCGGCGGGGGTGGGCACGGGCACTGCCCCGTGCTGGCACTCGCGCCGGGAAACCCAACACAGGCAGGTGAACAGGGACACCAAGAAAAAGTGACAGCTATCAAGCCTCTCCCTGCGTGCTTCACCAGTTAGCCATCATGTCCTTTTTAATAACTTTAGGCATACTGTGCACTCACATTTGTCTGCTAGGTCAGTGGGCGACGTTTCAAACATTCCTCCTCCGGACATAGATAAAATGCATTGGTTTGATAACGGTAGTACCTAATCAGAGGAAACCAGACCCATGTTGTGCTTCATGGCTTGCAAAAGCGTACATCCACCTGAACCATGGTCCCTGTGTCAGAAATGCAGAAATGTGACTGGGAAAAATCATGCAAGTCTCCAGGCTGGATTCACACAGTCTGTATCACTGAGTAGTCTGGGAGCTCACAAACTGGTGTTCTTTTGGACAAAACCTTGCTGGAAGATAGTTCAGCAGCTCCTCTGTTGTGTCACAGCTGCTAATGGTCATTCAGTCCATGGGATCAGACCTGGGGGTAGTCCAAAGCAATACTCCCAAAACAAATAACCCTGGCATAAACTTTGACTGTTTTGCTATGATGTCTGTCTTTCTTCAGAGTGGTAATAGCAGATAACTTAGAGTTTGTAAAAAAATGCATACTACATTTGCTATTTCTCTTCCTTGTCCTGGGCAGGTATGAATCCAGACACAGTATACACAATATTGACTATACAATGATGATATATTGAATCCACACAACTATTGCTGCTACAATCATGTAATCCTTGCTGGAGATCACAGTGTATGTCAGAGGGAGGGGATCATAAAGTACTCTGAAAAGAAGAGAAACTCCAAAATTACTTGAATTTGTTTGTATTGCTTCTGTTTGCTGCTTACAATGTATCTTCAATCTGATTTAATCAAAGGGGAAGCCTCTGAAAGAAGCACAGGGTGAAATTGCGTATTCAGCCTCGTTTCTGGAGTGGTTTGCGGAGGAGGCTCGACGGATTTATGGTGATGTTATTCCAGCATCTGCAAAGGACAGAAGAGTCCTGGTGCTGAAGCAGCCAGTAGGAGTGGCAGCCATTATAACCCCAGTAAGCATAGCTGAACTCTTTTGAGTCACGTGAAGATTTTCAGCTCAGCCCCCAGTTCAAAATGTCACTTACTTCTGCAAAAATAGGAGGCAAAATTTTCCCAACTTTGATTTTACTATTTTCTTTCTTCCTAGTGGAATTTTCCAAGCGCTATGATTACCCGGAAGGTTGGTGCAGCTCTGGCAGCTGGCTGTACAGTAGTGGTGAAACCTGCAGAGGACACACCTTTATCAGCATTAGCTCTTGGGGAGGTGAGCTTTCAGTGCTAAGGTTTTCCTCAACAATGGACTGATACTGTAAAGAGGGAATCAGATGGACTTGGAAGTTAGCTCTGGCCAGTTTTGTATGTGAAGAAAGGACAAACTGACTTGATGCAGTAGTGTATTGAGAATCTTTGCAAATAGTGTCTAATATGGTCTAGACCCTCAAAGTGGATCAGGCCATTTTGATACTCAAAATATCCTTATATCTTTAATTTGGTTCTTTTGAACACAGACAGCTTAAACCAGAGCAGAGCTGCTCTCTCAAGTGCCTGTGGCACCTGTTCCTAGTTTTGCTGAGTCTTTTTGGTTTCTATTGACTTACAGACTGTTTTCTTCAAAACAATGAACAATCATCACTCTTACAAAATGCACTAATAATGCAAATTCTGTTTTTCTTTTGTTGCAGCTTGCAAACCAGGCTGGAATCCCAGCAGGAGTGTATAATGTTGTCCCTTGTTCCAGACAACAGACAGCAGCTGTAGGGGAAGTTATATGCACTGATCCATTGGTATCCAAAATATCTTTTACTGGCTCTACAGCAACAGGAAAGGTACATATGTGGACAGAATATCCTTGAAGATTATTACCGTGGTTATACTAGAAAGGTAGGGGGAAAGTGTGTGCCTTTATACAGAGCCTTCCTTTCTGGCTACTGTACACAGATTGTCCAAGTAATTGTGTACCTCTTGAGATACTGCTTACATGTTTTACTGTCAGTACTTCACAGAAGGATGCCTGTCTGCAGTTCTTAAGAACTGCCCTTTATTAAATAAATTATGATGTGAACAGTCCCATACAAGATATTCTTGGTTTATCTCATAAGGTGAAAACACACTAGTAAGAACACTGAAACTGAGTCTCAAAGGTGCCATTCAAAAGTGGCTTCAGCAGTTGAGACAAAGTATTAGAGTGAGGCCCTGGAATCTCTGCTATAAACGGTAGTCAGTAAGCAATCTTGTGATCATCTCTAATTGAATCACTAAAACTGCAGAATGTGGCTACAAGGTGACAATTCTCTAGGATGGCTGTATGCAGAGTGAAGAAAAAGTCTGGTATCAAGGCAAATCATAATACCAAATTCTGTCAGATCTTGGAAAACTTTTGTAAGAGTAGTCAAAATTTTATTATCAAAAAGGAATAGAACAAACAAAAAAAGTTGACAATATTAGTATATAAAAATTTGACCTGACCTGAAGTTGATAGAAATCTTTCTCTGCATTAGTTCTTGGCCAGAATTTCATCTTTAAGGATTTTAATGGATGAAAGTTGCTTTTTTCATAGGAGATGGTCTAGCATTGTAGAGAAGATGCTGATTATTTCCTTGCCAGAGTTCATTTTTCACTGCCTTGCATCCATGATTCCACTGTTCACATCTGTTAGAGGTACAGATGTATGCATCTCTTCTGTTGCCTACAGATCTTGCTGAAACACGCAGCTGGCACTGTGAAGAGAGTTTCCATGGAGCTTGGAGGACATGCTCCTTTTATTGTGTTTGACAGTGCCAACGTGGACCGGGCTGTCGCAGGAGCCCTTGCTTCTAAGTATAGAAACTCAGGACAGGTGAGAATTTTTGTCCATGTTTCTAGACAATGAAGAGCTGTACACATAAGTAAGCTATTTTATGTAAAAGGAAAGCATAGAACACTTCATTGTGAAGAGAAAGGTGCTGCACTCACAAATGGCTCTGGTCACTAAAGCCAGTTACCAGCAAGTCTAAATAGCAACACTGAAATCCCATATATTTTTGTCAAAGCAAAGGGGTAGCACAAATAAATAGATAGTTGAAAGCACTTAGAAACAACTTTCAGGAAGAAAGCAAACTCAAACTCAGATAATAAAGGAGTTAGAAAAAAGACCCCTGACCACTAAGTGAGATTTGAGTTTTTGCTACTCAGTCCAGTATTCTGCAGTCTAATTAGAAGGCATTTCATGCAGCTTCTGAACATTGGTTGATCCATGTATCTGAGTCCACAAAACTCACAAAACATTTCCCCAGCATAAGCAACTTAGCAGTGTGACATATTTCACACACCTCCTGACAACTTATTGAAGTTGTATTTCTAAAGTGAAATGGGTGGTGAAAGATATGGCATAGCTCGGTAACAGCTTAGGGTGAGAGGGAGAGGGAGGAGAGAGTGTAGTAACCTGATTCTGTGGTGTGAAGGCCAGAATGAATTAATAGATGGATTAAATAAAATGCAAACTAATGGGGTTTTGTCCTATCTTGTGTGTTTTCAGACTTGTGTTTGCACAAACCGTTTCCTGGTGCAAAAGGGAATTCATGATGAATTTGTGGAAAAGTTTGCTAAAGCTATAGTCAAAGAACTACATGTTGGAAATGGATTTGATGCAAAAACTACCCAAGGACCACTAATAAATGAAAAAGCAGTGGAAAAGGTATAAGTAAATATTTAGTTTTTAATGTCCTAATTTTCTTTTTATGATCCATGTAATAACTTTATGTTTCACCTTTTTTCCCTTGTTTTGTTAGAACATATTTGCAGCGTGGCTGGAAGTGTGTTCTGTTTCCCAAGTCCATATGTATAGACAAACAGCTGTGGACAGCTCATGTATCATCCCCGTTTCCATTAAGGGAAAGAGTGTCTGATCCTGCAGTTCTCAATTGACAATTGACAATTGTCAATGTGATTGACAATTTCTGTTGAAGAAAAGCTAGGCAGAATAATTTATTTGGGTTAAAAATACCAGAACTCTGGATGTTGTAATCACTTGAAACTTCATGTGCATGATTTGGGTCTTCTGTTTTGGGTGACCAACAACTCCAGGAATATTTATTTTTTAAAAAAGCCTAATAAGCCACATCTTCCATAATATTTCACTTTTCCTAAGGTTAAAGATTCTTGTGTCATGTGGCGCATACTTTGTAAGATATTGCAGCTCAGTTGCATGCAGCCTTGGTTTGAATCCGTTATACATTAATGCTGCCAGATTCTCTTTATAAAAGAATGGGAAAATATTCAGTTATTTGGGAAACAAAGGATACAGTACTTGAATTTCTTTCCTTCATGCCTTCCCTTGTGTCACAAAAGTGTAGTATGTGTATCAGGTATAACTGTATATACAAATAAACAAACTGTATATAGTCACTTCCCATAATTTCAAAGGACAGTATTCTAGGTGGGGATTACTACTTTACTTTCCTTATTGCTTTGTTGTCTCTAGATGAATTGTAAATATAGGGGATAGGTAGAATCATAGATGCAGGAGAATGTTCTTGCCAGTTCCGTCTTGAGAGTTGTTTCTCTTTCCATGGCAGTCATACACTTCATTTCCATAGTGCTTGATCACTGATATAAGATTCAGTTTTTAGTCCTGCAAAGACTTTTTCTCACATTAGGTGTAGGCTTTTAATTTCTACAGAAAAGTGGGCCGGGTACCACGTTCATAATTCATCCCTCTGAAATTATGTCAGACTGAGAAAAACAAGAATTGAAGAGAAATTAGGTATATTGCAAATGATCCTCTGCAAAGTGTAAACCTCTCTTGAAAATTTTCTCTTAAATATTGGGAGAGTATTATTTTTTCAGTGGGAAATATATTATTGCTCATTTTTAAATGCTGACTTTTAAGATTTTTGTTATGCATACCTCAGGTAGAGAAACACATTAAGGATGCAGTTTCTCAAGGAGCATCTGTTGTGACTGGAGGGAAACGACACAGCTTGGGGAAGAATTTCTTTGAGCCAACATTACTTACTAATGTTACAACAAAAATGCTTTGTACCCAAGAGGAGACATTTGGTCCTTTAGCACCAGTTATCAGGTAAGATTATTAATTCCACAGAATAAAATTAACAATTAAAAAACCAATGAAAGATTATTTTGAATGAACAAAATTTAAAAGACAAGAAAATATTTTTGTATGATCACACAAGTCTTGTAAAAAGGCTGGGGTACACATCTGAAAACATACTTTAGATAGCAGCAAAATCTTCATCGGCTTCATGATCTGTGGTATGAAATAGGAGACAGGACTTTTGTCATGTGATTTGCTAGTCTTAAGTTTTTCTGACAGAGGATGAGTTGGAGCTGTCTGTTCTTAAAGCCTTCCCTGCCTTTGTGCAGAGCATGTGATGGAAGAACATACAGTTATCTCTGAGACTTGAGAGTGCTGTGTATTTGGGGAAATATGTAGGCTAATCTATATGAAGTAAATGTCTTGGTACCATCCAGCTACCTCAGGGGAATAAAAGCAATCTTAACTACTTAACTGCAGTTTAAATTAAGAGAAGAGGTAGACACTTCAGTGTTTCAAAATGAAAGTTAAATTCTCTTTTTAATGTACACTTTTGAGAAGACTAAATTGACATTTTACTTCCCAATAAGACTGCTTCTTGTCAGTAAGTCAGCAAGATAGCAAGAGAACTGTGGGCCTCATTTTTATTTTTTGTCTTTCTATTGACAGATTTGAGACTGAAGCAGAAGCTGTTGCTATAGCAAATGCAGCTAATGTGGGTTTAGCAGGTATGTTTTTCTGTCAGATAAGTCTATTTCTGTGGTTTTTGTGAGTTTAGTGTTACGGGGTAAGGATTTTGAATGTCATTAAGTCTCTTTTTCAGAGTTTTCTGCAATTATTCTTACTGATTTTCACTCCTGTGTCTTCACGACAGGATATTTCTACTCCCAAGATCCAGCTCAGATCTGGAGAGTTGCAGAACAGCTGGAAGTTGGAATGGTTGGTGTTAATGAAGGCATAATCTCGTCAGCGGAGTGTCCTTTTGGTGGGGTAAAGGAGTCTGGCTTGGGGCGAGAAGGTTCAAAATATGGCATTGATGAATACTTAGAAATAAAATATGTCTGCTTTGGAGGATTATAAAAGCCTTCAAACAGCACAATCCCCGCAACTTGGGAAAGAGTGCTGTTGTTTTTATAAGCTTCTTTAGCCTGAAATATGTATGAATGCAACTTCTACCTTCATTAGAACTAATCAGCCATCGTGTGTGTGTATAGAGATATCTACGGTATTCTGTGCTGCCAAATGTTTTTACATAGTCTTTGTTTATACATCCAGTTTTTCAGCAATGTGATCACAATGTCCATTATTTTTAGTAAAGAGTAGGGATGTACATTTATTGTTCTTGGATTATCCCTGTGTAACTGGGAGAACTTTGAGACCTGTGCATAATGAAAACAGATTGTAACCTATAGCGAGGGAAACCAGACCACCATTTTTTACTACCTTTAGTACTTCAGTGTGGATAAGGGATCCTTTGGGATGGCAGTCTCCCTTTAGAATTTTGTGTAAATACTCACACTTTCAAATGTGGTTATCTGACCTCCTATGGAAGCAAGTGTGTGGGGTTTTTGTTTTTTTTTTTCCTTAAATTGTGGGAGAAATCTGCTGCTTACAGAAGGTAAGGAACAGTTTTGAGCTGTATCTAGGCATCCACATAGGCTAACAAATAGCTTTTCCAGCACTGTGATGCTGACTGCAGGGCTGCTACCTGTTCAGCTTTAGGTTTTTGAGCAAAGAGGTGTACTTCAGGCCTAACAGCTTGCATGTCTAGGATGAAATATAGCTCTTCTTTGATGCCTGTTAGCCCCAGCAGTCCTGGAAACAGGACAGTCCAGGACAAAGAATTGCTGGCTTAGTGAGAAGCAGGAGGAAGGTAAGACACTCAGGAACAACTTGCAGAATTGTAAGGGGAGAGTATAAGGGCTGTGTGAAGAAAGCACAAGTGGTGACACGATGATACAGATAAACTCCTTCTCTTCCATGAAAAGACCATGACTCTCCTTGGGTAGAAGTACAGTCCCTGATGTAAATATTGCTCGGTGTCTAAAGGAACATAACTCACCCCCTTCGAAGAATAGAAGCAGATATTCATCCCTGTGGGATTTGTGGTTACACAGGTGAAGGTCCATTAGGGAGGAAGGCTTAAAAACCTTTGAACATGGCTCATTTGTGACTTAATAAAGATTTAAATAGTGGTGGTTAGAGGTGAGGCTTTGACCTTTGGCTTGACCTCACTACTCTTGTCATCTTCAAAAGATGATGTAAGGCTTCCTTATTATGAAATAAACAATGTTGTTAAAAATATTTTAATGGCAGTCACAAAGCACTTTAAACATGCAATGTTAATTTGGTGAATAAATCAGCACGGCAGAAGGGAAATAATTTTTGTTTATTGTGTTTATTATTAAAAATAAAGAAGGCAATGGAATCCTTCTTCCTATAAAGTAATGAATGTACCATATGAAATGAAATATTTTAAAATATTTTATCCCATCAGGCAAAGAGGTACCAGGTAACATAAGACTTGTAGAGGGAAGGAAAGCAAGCTGGAACAGAGTTTCATAGGGTTTTTGTTTAAAGCGCACATAAAGTAGCATTGACTGCTACTCCTTATTTTTAAATATTTTTTACGGTTGTATTTGTGTAGCAGTTGAGACCTGGTGGGTCTGGAGCACATTATCTGTCAGTACTGTGTGCATCATGCCAACTGAAGGGCAGTTAAAGGGTATTTACCGCCCTTCCAGTAATTCGCAATGCACCAAACCTGCGTAGCTGTGTAGTAAGGACTTTAGTACTGTTATCTGTGCTTGTCAAAAACTCAAAAAGGATGGCTTCTTTCTACACTAGTTGCAAGAAACTTTCCCATACCCACCTTCTAAGATAACACTATGGAGCACACAGGCTGCCTGAGTTTTGGGAATACAGTGTTGTGGGAGAAAGCTGTTTGCCAGTTTTGGCTGCTGATGTGTTTAGTATTAATTGGAAAAAACAACTGGGTAAAAGAAGGTCATGCCTAGGAACATGACCCATGCTTAACAAAAATGTATTATGTATACTACATAAACGTAGTAATTTCAGCTCAGAAATTATTCTAGTTACAGTACAATAGCATTTCCAGCTTCCACAACACAGTGATGCAGGCATAGTTACAGGTATTGTACATAGGTAGAATATCTGCCACTGAAATTCAATTGTATCTGCCTGTGAACTGTATAAGGTCAAAATTAAAATCATATTACATCTCTATGACAGTGTACTATCTAATGTGAGTGTCCTTCTTGGGACAGTGCAGTTGGAGGATAAATTATTTAACACTTGCTCTCTTCACTACAAGTTACTGATGATGCATGGGTCTTTTTAATGTGATTTTCTGATAATAGCACTTCTAATGAGTATTTGCTTTTTTTTTTTAGCAAATAATATCTTTTACAATGCCTGATAACAAGCACAAACAATAGTTAAAGATAATGTTTGTAAGAAACTTAAATACTTTTGTCTAGACTGGATTGTGGTTGGATTCCAGCATAATATCCTCATGTCAGTAAAGTCTACATCATTCAAGCACAGAATAATCACAGTTGTCTTCATAGCAAAAGCTGAGATTCTTCAACAAAAGACTTGAATTCTCACACCTCAGTTGTGTTGATGGCACTTGTGATAGTTTAGCAATTCCTGGATATTAAAACTGTGATTAAAAAAATGTTTTATGTTAATAAATAACTTCTGTGAAAGCATCAGATTTTGTGGTTTATTACGTTATTCAGTGCTGAACTGACAAATTGATAGCAGCTACATTAAGTTCAATCTCTCAGATTTGCATAGAAAATTTTCTTCTGACAGCTCTATCACTGGAAAAGACACCACTTCTTTGCATCCACATGTTCATATAGTGTAAGATTTTGGCACCCCCAATTACAGTCCCTTGAATCTAAATCAGATAGATGAGACTACTTGGACATAGTAATATGCTATTAGTCATTTTGTATGCCAGTCTTTTATGCTGAGTCGAATATTTTATCACAAAACAGATCAGAGTGTCTTCCCTGGTTTTGTAATGTGATTACTTGCATAATTCTTTATTTCGTTCATTAAGATTTAAAATAGAGTTTGGGGAGCTCTTTTACTTCTATTTATTTAATAGTGTATTGAAGCCTGAAAAACTGTCCGAATTTCCAACTTGATACAGTCATGGCCAAGTGCCATTTTATTTTCTTAAGTTACTCCTTAAAGAATTGTTTCACAAACATACACACACACCCACTGCCTGTCTTCTCTGTGTAGTAAGCTCTCAAGAAACTATGTTTACCTGTTCTACTAGGTATTAACAACTTATCTATCTTAAAGATTTAAGTGTGGTTTTCAGAAGCTCTAAGTTACATTTTAGCGCTTGTTTAAAGGGTTTCCACATCAAAACTTCCTGTTTAGGTCCTTCCAGGAAGAGAACCATGAAAAGCTGGTGGTTTAGTCACATCATTGAGTGCCAAAGCTGCTTGGCACATGAAGTTGTTTTGGAATCATGCCAGTTGTCTTCTGTTGCACCACTTACTCACGGGAATGGGGGAAGGCTTCTGCTATTACCAAATGTTCAGTACCATAACAAAGGGACAGATTCCATTCTTCAACAAAGGACGCATGTATCTCATCAGCTTATTCAGCTGCCAGTATTCCCTTGCAGTCTAGCGGCAGTGTTTTGAGGTACCATCTAGACTCCGGCACTGTGTATCCAAACAGACTTAAAAAGTTGCTTTTCATGGTGATTTTTTTTTTCCTTGCAGAAAGCACTTGTATCTCATAGCACCTTTTATTATCACTTTTCAGCACAAACTTAATACACAATGATGGAAGGATTTTTCTTTTCTAGTTCAGAAACAAGCAGCATAACCTACCCCTCTCTAACAGCATATTTTGGGTTATATTGCACACCTGTATCTCTGATTACTGCTAAGCAGCTGACTCAAGTATGGAATCTGTAACAGAGTAAGCCACAACACCTGTGAAACCACCACATTTGGCATGACAGCTGATCACTTACACATAGCAAATTAAACCAAGTAAGGACAAGCACCACATGAAAATTTATTGTGAAGTGCAGTAATTTTTTTCCTGCTCTCTGATGTACTGAATTATATCACCTCTCTAGCAAAAGATGCTTCTGCCAGTAGGAAGGGAAGGAATCAAGTACTGCATTGCTTTTCTGTTTGAGTACAGACAAGCTATGGAAAACAACAAATGTCTATTATCCTGGTCTGACTATTGGATCCAATAGTACAGAATACCATGCTTAAAAGAGTACCTGACAAGTTTCTAAAATGAAAGACAAAACTTTATTAATAGTTACATAAATGTATAATTTCAGCTCAGAAATTATTCTAGTTACAATACAATAGCATTTGCAATAAATAACATTTTCTAGAAATAGATTCCTAATATAAATTTTGCTCACCCATCCACCCACAGGGAGAAGTGCTTTCATACAGAGACAAAATACAGATGTGCAGCTCATCTGCACCTGATCCATAGCCTGTACAAAAATCATTTGCCTTTGTTGTCTCCTTCTTAAAATTTTATTTCTAAATTTTTCTAAATTTTATTTCTAAATATTTCCCTCCTTTGTCTTGGGGAGTTAAGGATATAAAAGGTACATTAAATGGGTTTTTCTTTGCTGCAGAAGTATAGGATTAGTATTAAAGTTAGGGATCCCTGATAAGCAGTAACTGACATTAAGAAATTAATTCACCAGTATCCCATTTCCCTTCTCCTGGAGGAATGTTTTCCTCTCTCAAATCTCACTTAAATGTCAGAAGACTACACTTACTGTTTTTTTATTACTACCACCCTGAAGCTCCATCTGACTACTGCCCATTACCAGTATACTGGGGGGCAAAATTAGTTTCACTTGAGGTGAGCAGGGATAGAACAGGAATAAAAGCAGAAATAGAACATTTGCCTAGGAACTCTATTATTTCAAGAACATCAGAGTATCTGAGGAAAGTTTGTACCAGCACAGAGAACACACGCACGCACTCACTGTCTCACTGTTACATTCTTTGCATGTGTGTGAACTTCTAATTACCCAAAGGAGACAAAAGGAAAATTGACATCATATAAACCAACAGCTGACAGCACAAAACAGATGCTGGAACAGTACTTTTATCTGATGCCTCTGACAGAGGGAGAGTAAGACTGTCTACTAAAAGGATAGAGTTGATAATCTATTTTTACACACAAAACAAGAATAAAAACCTTTCTTCATCTAGGTAAATAAACAATTGTCTGTAATCAGACATATTACATTTTGCTTTGTTTTTTCTACTGAATATGACAGGTTGAACCACAGGACAGAGAATTTGGATGTGGATCTCAACAGGTTTGCCGAGGTAAATTTTCTTCCATACTGCAGTATGATTCTAGTTGGGAAAGTAAAATCCACAAGACAATTACCTGTTTGCAGCCATGGCAGTTTCATGCTGTGTATGTACTACATTGAACACTACAATTGGATACTGAACCTGTTTAATACTTAGGAAGTTTTTTTCCAAAATACACTCCTTCCTTAAAATGCAAACAAAGGCAGTCCTTTCACATAGCTGGACAATCCCTTGTGCATGTAAAATCAAGATGCAAATGAAAATGCAGTGCTTACACTTCAAGGCAATGAGGCACTGCAAATATCACCACACTGCCTGCCTTCAACAAGAGGCAGTATCTTAGCAGTGCCAAACTGAATTATTCTTTACTTTCAGTAGACTGAGCCACATAGGACAAGCTCTATCTGGTCTCTGCTTCTCAGTGCAGATGAGTCTCTTGGGCATTTTACAAATCAGCTGCCAGTACTCTTTCTGTATGTGAAGGAGAACAGTGTGCAGAAGTAAACGTGAGGACTGAGAACCTGCTTGGAACCTAAAATAACCTGAACCAAAGGGTTAGAATCCAAATTCTGCCATTTTATTTACACCATTACAACCAGTTTTCTGACCCTTTCATACAAGGTATGAATTGATATTCTGCAAGAAAGCAGTAGTTCTAGAAGTAAAAATTATACTGAATCAAGATACAAGGCTTGCTATTGTACCTCCTAAATTTCTGACACAAACATGCTTGGCCAAGTGACACAAACATGATACCACAAATTCACAGAGCCAGAAATTTTTGCTTTCAGCTTCTGTGCAAGTGCCATATATTAAAAGCAATCAGAATCAGAAGCAGCTGAAAAATTTAAACTACATTCAACTTTGAAAATACATCTAAAATACTGTTAGCAAGAAAGGTGTTAAAGTATCATCAGAGAACTAAATTTACCAAGCAACATCCACTTGCCAGGGCCTTAAACAATGAAAAATTGGTCTGATATTTCTTATTTGTTAGAGTGAGAAACACTTAGCCAAATCATACATACATTCTCATGGCCCATGAACTTACCAGAGAGACAAAGATCTGGGCCCATCAGTGTGCATGTTTGTTTGTTTGTTTTAAAATGTTTTTCAATACCTTCAAAGAACAACATCCTAGGCTTCAGCACTGGCTTTAAAAAGATAAAATTAATCCAAAAGACATAAGTCACTAATTTCACAAAACTGACAGATGCTGCAGACTGCACTGACACGCCCTAGAAGGTAAGCTTATAGATAAAGGCACACTGGAGACAGTATTTAGCAGAAGCATCAATGGCAGCACAGCACCTACAAAATTGAAATTATTTAAGCAACTTACTTGCTTGTTTAAAAATGCATGTTTTCAAGAGACTAATTCCTGCTAGAACATTGTGTAGTATTTCATAATGGATTAAGCCCAACATTTGGATTTCAGAAATAAATTAATTATAGGTTTGAGTGGGCTTTAAGTTTTTTCAGGAATGCTTTTATTAAGTTAGCACAACTGAAAGACATCAGAAACTGACCTTGCTTTTGTTGACCAAGTTTTTTAAAAATACATATATACATATATATATATACATAGACACGCACACTCTCAAGAAGAGGGAGAGTGTGATAAAGTAGATTTGTTTCAAGAAATAGCCTAACCCCCCCATACACAGAGTTGAAACTTAGTTTTTGAAGAAAGCAAATCATACCATTCATACTGCACTGCTTATGGGAAAAACATAGACAACACTTGTATTAGCCCTTTTAGTTCTGCACAGCATCTCCCACCACAATGATTCTTGCAGCCACATAAAGATCTCCAGAGAAATGCAGGGCTGGACACAAGGTACATACTCCTCAGTGCTGAATTAGTCCCTAGTAGCCTTAGGGACTGTTACTGACTGCACTTGAGAATCAGAAGTATGAAACAAGTTATGAGCATGCTATGTTGCTGCAAATTTTGACCACTGATTTCTTCCAGCCTACATAGTTCTGACTGTTGCCCAAGTCCACTAACAAGAGAAGCCCAGAAGCCACAGTGTTCAACCCAGCTACTCTGTTGTATTAGACTTCTAAGAAAGGATGGAGAAAGCCCCAGAATTCTCTACTACATTATTCCTCATGATGGAAATGGGATATGTCCCCTCCCCGACCCTTCTAAACTGCTCCCTTTGATCTCTACACTGCTTCATCCTCTGATAATGGGTTCTCTACCACTGGATTAAAAAAAACCCCAACAAAACAACAAAATAAAATCCCAAAACATTAAAAAAAAAAAAAAACACTCTCTTCAAAACTCTTTTCTCCATTAGAACACATCATTCCTCCATCTCAGCCCTAGACTTCAGTACATCAGTAGAGTACCCCCAGGAAAAGCTGACATCATGGCTAAACAGTACCACTGACACAGATGCTCCCACAAGTGAGGCCTGTGTACAAAAGTATTGTCTTCAGTTAGGGATTTCAAAAGCAATACTGGAGACATGATTTCAAACAAGCAGACTGTGAAGAAATTACCCAGACTGTGAACAAGAATGTCAGAACTGCAATACACACCTACCCTTGCCAAAGACCTAAAAGGCTCTCTTTAGGCCAATACATCCAGTCACTCAATAGCTAGAGAGGAAAAAGTCAAACAAGCTCATGTTTAAGCTAAAACATTGCTCAATACCGACTACCACAACAATGAAAGTACAATGAACCTCCTGCTCCACACAGGGTATTTGCCACAAACATTTCACTGCACAGGTGCCCAGCACATCCTTAAAGTGAGCACTTGATGCTGACAGATGAAAACTCACCTCAGCTAAGCATTCAGTCTTAAACGGTCCACAGCTCCTCAAAGTGATCTAGAAAGGTTGTTTTGGATGCTCAAAATGCTTCTCAAGGTGCATCAGACCAAGTCCTTCCTGCTACAGTTTCCTGAATGGACATGGCAGAGCCAAAGCAATTTGATCATTACAGAAGCAACCTAGGGCTGGATTTCCCTGCAGACACTACACCTCCTGTGTGAATGCAGGGAATGTTGCATCCTACAGGACACAGATATACCATGTTACATTATAGCCGAACCAGTGCAACTGCTCTAGTTCTTAACTTTCTCTGAAAACGGAATGTTTTTACCCAATGAACACTACCCTAGAAAAGGAAGTCCCAAAGTACAGTTGGATAAAGACAATGCACTAAAAATGCTCTTTGTGTTTCCATCCTAAACTAAAAATTAAGATGGAGCCTGTAAGGAACTTCATCTATATTGGCTTTTGCTGTTGTAAGTCACACCACTTCTCAAAGAGAGCATTAAAAGCACATATGAATCTGTATGTAATTTTTAGTTACCATAGTTTGTAGCAGAACAGCCCTGGCTAGTTTTGTAGCAGTGATATAGAAAAAAGGCCTTCTGAAGTTCAAACATTCAGCACAGAACATGCAAGAAATAAGATGTGCTTTTTCTTGTTTTCTTGTTCCTATAATGGTGACAAGAGCTGACATCTAATCCTTTCTCCCTCCTTCTGCCTTCACCTGTGCTAAAAATTTACCCTTTAATCTGAAATTAGTTGATATTTTAGGAAGATTTTGGTTCTGGAAAAACAGAGGTGGGCCAACATGTTTCAGATGTGTTGCACCAGTGTGTTCTGTGCTTTTACCCTCATTTAGTTATCTGTCTTTGGAGCTGTAGTTGAAAGAAATTCCATTTCTGATGGACCCATTTATAAGTGTTCTAGAATTCTCTCTTTCAATTTTTTCTCTGCTGAAGATAGTGTCCTGATCACTGTCAAACTCTGACTCAGAGACCATCAGACTGGAGTTGTGTTCTGTACTTCTGTGTTTTATACCTGACAATAAAAAAGCAAAACAAACTCATTAGAAAGGCTTGGGTTTTCAGTAACATACTACCATCTTCTCCTCTGCTATGATATCAAAGGTAAGTGAAAACATTCTCTGCAGTGCAATGTAACAGCATACACCAATACAAAAACTGGCTTAAGAAGCATCATATCCATTTCAGATAGTCTTACGACTTCATTGCAGCCCATCAGTTTAAGAGTCTGAAATGTCAATATATTATTTAAATTTAAATGTAGTTAAACAACTAGATTATCTTAGTACATACACAATGTATTTTTAATATCTTGAATCTGGAACCAGTCTATCCACTCAATGACCTTATTAACATGAGTGGCAATGAAAGGTCATGCTTTCTACAGAAACATTATCTCTGTCTTTCTAGGACAGCAATTTCTCAGAATTATTTTGTTTCCTTGGATTCCAACATTTCCCCTGCTAAAAACTGAAAGTCAGGTAAATTAAAAGATACAAAAACAGTAGCTGAAATCTACTAATGTCTAACAAGGCACTGATGGGTCAGGAGGGAACTGCTATGCAGCCACAAAACCAGCTCCAAATTAAAGCATGTGTAGAAGAGGAAGGCTTACATGGAGAAAATCTGTGGGGCAATTGACTGTTCTAAATTAAGATAAACTCAGAAGCTCAGAGCAGAGATTGAGCCCAAGGCTTTATTAAAGAAGTTGACTGATTATCCCCCAAGCACTTCACTATTTGTCTCTGCCATTCCCAAACTTGTAGGCCTGCTTCTGGGCTCCTCCTGCCTACAGGTATCAATTCAGTCATATTGGCTGCACACTTGGTGGGTGAGCGCCCAGGCTGCCATACAGCACGTACCATATTTGGGCCGTAGCTCCATTCTCTCCTGTTCGTCTATGTTATCTAGGATGGTATATTTTGTTTTCTTTCTTGTCTTTGTCCTCTTCCTGCTAAAAAGATAGCAACCAAAAAGACATTTAATTCTCACATACACATATAAATCTGCCCCTCCCCTTCCTTTTTATATACAGACCTTAATATACAGAATGCCATTGTACTTTCTCACCTCCACTTAAAAATATTGCTAGTTTATACCTGACAGTTATACAATACGGATAGGACAGTATAGTTAATTTTCACTGATATAGAAAGCAAGGCAGATTGATTTGCTCTCCTAAGCTACAGTTTGTTGAATTTCAGCATAATAACTACAAAAACAGTAGATGAATATTCATGTGCCCCCACAGTTCACAGTAGAGAAGCTCCCTTACTGCTCAGCCAGCATTACAGCAACGGCCAGCCTTGGCTTCCCCTCCATGATCTTCTGTAGAAATCACCTGGCAACTAAAAGTTTTTAAAAACTCCAAATCTCCAGCCAAATCTTGAGTCTATACTGTCTTTTTCATGTAGTTTCCACAAGGCAAAGGGAATCTCTTGACATTCTATCCCGTGCTGTAATTCCCTCCTCTTTTTCACATGGATCTGTATCAACCAGCCCTCACTCTCAGGCACAAGCCATACAAGGACAAATGACAGAAGCAGTTGAACCTATAAAAAATCCCTCAAATAATCATCCAATACACACAAGCCTGTGAGGCTCCACCCCACACTGTGGGAGTGGAATGGGATACACTATACTATTTAAAGTTTTCTATTAATAGCACTGTTCCTTTAACCATAAAAAGAAAATTGGTATCGACTCCTACACATCCTTTACATACTGCAAAGACACCCTAGAAAAAGATTAAAATTCAGAAAGATTTTGATGGCATTTTATTTTTGCTAACACCTGAACAAGCTATCTTTTTGCTGAGCTATTTGAGCTGCAGCAAAAACACTTGCTCTAGTGACAGAACTTGCAGAGGCTTGTCACTTGAAAGAGAATTTCTTATCAGCTCACTGGGAAAGACTGGAGGGAGGGAAACAACATTCAGTAATACTACTGAGTGCTCCTGTTTAAAGAAAGAGAAAGTAAGAAGTCTGTATGACTGGTATCACTAGAGTACTCCTCGCCTGTAAGCCACATGTAGCCTGGCCACCCACACTTCTTCTCCAAAGGATAAACCAGAATGGGAGCAGATCCTTTCCCATGGCCTAGAACATTCCTGCATTAGTGACCTATAGGACATGCCTTCTGTTTTTTTAGCATGGAGTACCTGCAGGACTCAGTAGGAGACTGAAGATCTGCAGTATACTCTCAGCGTTTTAACATTAATTATCACTTAATATGAAGGATACTGCAACATTAACTATTTGGTTTTCATAATGCAGAAGAGCACAGACACACAAATGGATACTCCTTTTTTTCAAAATAAGTGTGTGTTTTCAGAAACATCTACAGAAAGCTCCTCACATGTCCAAAATCAGCTCAGTGGCTTAGCACTATAGACTGGACTGAAAAGTGGCAGTGGTGTGCTATTTTTGTGTATACCCCATCAAAAAGAAACACAAATAATGTACCTTTTACAGCAGCAGATGCAGAACCAGGCAAGCCCTACCATGACCACGATCAAAATAAAAACAGATACAGTCACATAGAGTATACTCCACTCTGAAAAAAGAAACACAACAGTGCTTTGTAAGGTCATATGAATAGAATAACTTCTAATACAACTCTATTAAAATAACCAATCCTGAGGAATGGGGAGTGGCACAAGAATGAAGGAAAACTCAGCACCATCATCTTCTTTGATGAATTCATAAAATCTTTAAGCTTTTAGATTAAAAGGGCACATTAGAAAATTTTCTTCCTCTCAAACACCTTTTACCATCCCAAGATATTTGAAGTCTATGTGGGAACTGACAGTCCTGCAAAGGGTCATGGTTACTACCTCAGTTATCATTCCCTAACTGAAATAAACAGAGGTACTCTGGGTCTGGCACTTTAGTAGTGCTTCAAAAGAGGAGCTAAATACAGGTATATCCTTCTACCCAGACATTTATATTTATAAATCTAGGTAAACAGGAAAGGATACAGAGAGATATGCAATCATTTGAACTCTGACGTGTACACTCACAGTTATCAGTGTTAACAGGTTCTAAAGGTCAGTATTGGTCAGTCCAGAACACCGATGTTTTCTTTGCTTAGATCAGATCATACTTCTGGCACAGAAACATCAACCACCCACTCAGAGAAATTGAAATTGCTGCCTCTTTTCCAGCTTTGCAACAGTCCTACTCAAAAGCTTTGCAATGCCCATGTTATTCAACAAACCCTCCAACTGGCCCCAAATCATTGGAAAATCTTCCTCCCATGACCAAATTTTCACATTTTTTTCATCAAATAGTGATTCTCTTTAAAATTTAGGTTACTACTGTCAAGACATCATTTCAAGAAATTATTCAAATATCTTTCTATAGAAAGGAATTGTTGGGCTGGAAAACACAGACTGTTTTAATCTCCCCCCAGCACCTACCTCTTAAATATTACCTATTCTGAGAACAAATAATCAAGAGTCTCACATGACAACAAGTTACTCTCGAAAGACATCCCACAACACCCAAACTCACCGCAATTACTCTCTCCATCATTTAGATAACGGTGAATCAAGTTTTCCATCCACAGCTGGTAGCAAATGCAGCGCTTTGTTATGGGGTCACAGTGCCCATGTCCAGAGCATTTTAAAAGACAAGCTAAGAACAGAACCAAACACAGGGGCCGTTGTGTAAATGGACAACTTGTCATACATCCTCTCATTGTTAGACTAGCTTGGTGGCAAGGCATCTGGCTCATAACACTGTGATATGTTTCGAAACTCCCTTTCCTTTGGGGTTACGTGTCAAATAGATCTACAGTTGAGCAGACTGCTGACTGTGTGGAGAAAGAATGCATTCGGAGTGTATTTATAATAGAACAGCAACCTTTTCAACCAGTAAATAAAGACAGAATTTACTACACAATCAGTGACTATTTTATCACCAGAGCTTGCTTACTATGTTTGCACTTGAATTGTTGTGTCCTGGTTTTAAATTACAGAAAAGTCATGTCTGTAATACCTAAAGATCATAAAGAGTTGACATTACTAGTGAAACTTAAAATAAACTTAGAAGTTCAAGCATAATTTTGGGCAAAATAAAGAGTTCATTATAGGAAACCCCAGTGGCCTGTGTATATTGCAAAGATTAGAAAAAACTAGGTGGCAACACAGCTATCATCCATTTTGCCTGATACAGGCAGACAAGAACAAGTTAGATTACAAGCCTATTTAATGAACACTAAAAGCCCTGAAGGAAGCAGAGACATGAAACATATCTATTTTATGGCTATATTAAGTCTTGCACATCTTCTAAGAAAAGGTAGTATGTAAGCTATCCTTATCCTCATTCCATAGGCCTTCCTGATGCAGATCAGATTAATGTGCTTTTGCCTGCTAATACTTTTAAGAGTGACTGTCTACCTACCACAAATCATGAAGCATTTTAAGTATTGTCCTCGACATCATCTTTTGTAAAGCTACACCCACCAAGCCCAGACACCAGACGGCAGACAGAAAAACTTCATGCAGTGTTTACAGGCGCTGTGTTAGCCAAATGTCTGCAAAGCTCTGAGATGGGCAAGCACAATCCAAAACATACCAGCCGTGTCAACTCGCAGGACTTTAAAAAGCAAGAAGTCAGCCTTCTGTTTCAAAAGCTGCACATGCAGAGTCCGTGAGACATCTGATGCCTTGATCACTGTGGAAGGATGCCCGTTCTGCACATAGAACACAACTGCGGTGCTGCAGAAAGAACAGCTAAGGTCAGGACTGCTGTCACAGACCACTTCTGTGGACCACTTCAGCAATCAAGTATAAAGTCACATAGAGTTTAGTCTTGTTTTGCTTCTGGAAAGCCAGCGTCACCACTGATAAAGATTAGGGGACTCTGTCTGTGGAACAGTCAGCTGATCTTCATTTTGAGCTGGGAGCATCAGCAGTTCTCAGGATTCTCAGTTTCACAGAAGACAGAAGAGGATAACAGCAAATATAATTCCATCCTTGGTCTTCCTGAATTTTGCTTTAAGAAGTGTGTATACATTTGCTTTCTCTATTGTCATATAGAGCCTGTCACAAAACATTCTGAAGCAATTTCATTAACTTTATGGGATTGAATTTAATAGGAGAAAAAGCTCAGAAGCAAGGGATCCAGAGAACTTAATGTGGAAGCCCTCCTGCCCTGTCATCCAAAACTTTTAAGTTGGGTGGTGTTGATCTCACCCTGTATCAGGCACTTCACAGAACATTTGAATTTGAAAAGCTGTGATTAAAAATATCATACCTATAAATGGTAGACTTTCCACACTGTGTTTTTAAATATTAAGAAGTTCCCCAAAAGCTAAACAAACATCAAAATGGATTTTAAATTACAAAGTGGTTGACAAAAAGTAATTTAAAGCTAACTCATGTAAACAGTTTCTACCAATCATGCTGAGAAGTTTCTCAGGGTACACACAGCCATCTCTAGCACTCTACACCAAGCAGAGGGAGTATTTCTTCTTCACAGTAAAATATCACATTTAAGAGAATCCACTGTGGTGTCTTCTGTGCAAAAAATATGGATTTTCATCACCAGTTACCTGGGAAAATGTTTAAAAAATATTAAGAATATCAAAACCATGGAGAAAAAGTAGAAAAAAAAGGGAAATAAAAATGGTTTGATTAAATAGAGCTGGAATCTTATTTTGAAATACAATACATGCTTCACTGTGAGCAAGTCTGTTTATCTTGCTCCATCCAACATTTGGAAAAAATAGCAGCACTTTATGGAACAAAGACACCGAAATATATATGCATGCACTTTCTTTAAAGGAAAAATAAAAAATCTGTGCAGAAGAAATGGGACTTTTTAAAAACAAAACATGTCACTTCTGAGCCTCTAAAGAGTTTACTTCATCAGGTTTCTACCACAGAAGAAATTCACCTTTTAAAGTATATTCTGATGAGAAGTATAGCATTTTTTGTCATCTTAGGAAAGATTATTTTGCAACTAATTATGAGCTGTGAGAGAGGCAAAGTAAATCACAAGTCATTCTGGCACAACAGGATACCTTTGTACCTTATATCTGAGTAGGCTTGTATCTTCTGAACTTTGATATCTGAATCCAAAACATTCAGCAGTACAGCCAACTGTCTCACCAGGGTGTCCTTCTGCTGCTCACTTAGCTGTCCCACTCCAACCTGCAGGATCAGCTCCACCAGACCACTCCTTCTGGGATCTGACAGAAGAAGAACATGCTGTTCCCTCAGAGCCTGGCAAGCATTTCAGTACCAACATGCAGTATTTGAAAGCATTTATTAATACTATAGTTTTCTGCATAAGACCCAAATCACTGATAAGCCAACTCTTTTGTGTTGTTAGAGAAGTACTCAGTTTATTTTGTCACATTCTCTACAAAACAAACCTGGTGGGTCCTAAGATAGTAACCCACCTTATTAATAGAAATAAAGTACTTCAGGGTGCACTTTCAGCATTTACACATTTCCATGCAGAAGAGCAACTTCTGCTCTCCTAAATGCTGCCATCTTAAAGTCAGAGGTAAGCACTATATGAGTCCAATTACCAAGTTCCCTGCTAGTAATCTACTACAGACTACCAACCAGGACAAAGGAGCCAAAGATGGACTCGTATTGTAGCATTCAAGACAGTGAACAAGTCTAAATGAGGATGGTAAATCTGAGAAATATCAGGAACGTTAACCCTGCCTACCCTTACAAACTGAGGTTTCTTTTATATGATGCTTGAACTTCTCTAGGTGCCTCTCAAACAAAACAAACTTCACAGATATCCAATGAGAATCATAATCCAATTACTATGACTACATTGAACAGTAAACTGAGGAACAAAAATAAAATCATTGCCCAAGAGCCATATAAACAAGGTATCTGTGACAGATCCAAGATTTCAGATATTTTCCTGAGATTTCAATTTCCACCATTTGGTTATTTCACCTGCATTTACAACCCCCTGAAATTCTTTGAGAAATTTTTTGGTCTTTTAGGATGAAAGAAGAAAAATAAACAAAGCCACACTTTCAACCATCAAACAGCAGCATTTATACTTAAATTTAATGGTCAGCTCCCATCTCTTCCTATTGGCCAAACTAATTAACAACCAGAAAAAGAAACACAAACCCTACAGTGAATGAGAAGCAACAAAAGCCTAATGAAAATATTAATTAGTAAGTATAAGTTTTATTTATTTATGGTCCCAACTATGGCAACTGTAGTAGTTAAGAATCCTGATGTGACCTTTTAACACACTTGGGCCTATTCACAAAACAGTAAGAAGGTAGAAAGAGTGAGACCTGCTTGCTCTGTGTTTTAACTTGAGAGATTCTCATCAACATCTGAATAAATAAGTGAAGAGGAGAACAAAGATGTGATATTCACAACATGTCGATGACCTTTTAATTGTCATACCAGGCCGCACTTCCACAGTTGCTGAATCAACATCTGAGTCTCCCTTAGCATCCGTCACTTTCAAGTGGAAAATATAGGTTCCTTCCACAAGATTAGTTAGCTGCAGTACTGCCTCGTGGTCTGAGCCATGGATCACGTCCTGAAACAACAAGGTCCAGAATAGTTACACCCTCAGAGAAAGATATTATTTGCAGGTTTCATTATCAAGTCAGCTATCTGGTATGATGCTCTGTGTTCTTGCTTTGACTTTTGAGCTACCCACAGTTTATAGCAGAGTAATAAAATTTGGAAGCGACAGTTAATGAGGTTGTCTACACACTATGGATATTTTCATTAAAAATACCCAAAGAGAGAACAGCTGACAATCTGAAGAACTCATCTTCTTGAAAATCCACGACAGTTACATTATTATTTCTCAATTTTATTCTGGTATCCTTAGTTCCGCTTTCTTAACTCCTAATTTCTTCTCCTTGGAGTTCATGCATTTTCAACTATCAACTCTGCCAGCTATATTTAAGCTAAATGTCTTCAATTCTTACACCCTCATGTGAATTGCTTCTAGAAGTTTTTTATGACTTTGCTTTTTCTCCTTTCCTAGTACTTTCTGATTTACAACTATCTTCCTGAGACCAAAAGAGCTGTCCACAACACTTTCTGCAAATAGAGGAAAAGATTGCCCCAGTGTTATAAGCTGACACAAATCGTCAGGTATTTCTGCTGTCCGCCCCACTCAGAGAGCAGAATCCCTTTCCTTAATGCCCTCAGCTAATCATCTGCCAGGGGAAGGTGCCTACACATATAATGCCAAACACCTTTTTTAACTTAAAATTTACCTCATATGCTACCAGGCAGGATTCCTTAATCTTTATTGGTACTTGCTCTCAGACCTTCCTCCTTTGGAAAATCTGGATTTCAGATTTTTTTTCTCTCAAACACGTTATCTTCACGCTATCATCAATTACTCTGCATTGCTGCAGTCCTTAGTTACTATATTCTCTAGCTGTACTGAAAATATTACCAGCCTCTTGAACCACATCATTACTGAGAGCAGGGGAGACAAACCAGAAACAGGCACCACACCTGACAGCATCTCATGGGTCATACCTGCTCTCCCTGCTGCAGTTACATGCAAAACAAATTACATTACAATCTTCAAGAAACTTACCCCAGCTGCTGGGCTTTGACCATCCCGAATCCACAAATATGACACAATCCCCTGGTCATCAGCAGACCCTGAGCCATCCAAGGTAACAGAGTTGTTTGGAAGCACTAGAACATGCTTCCCACCAGCATGTGCCTGGGGTGGACTGTTGTTTTCTAGCCATAAAGATAGTGGAGAAGGATTTCTTTCAAAACATGTCACATGGCATTGCCAATACACCCACACTGCAATTCTTTACCTGATGATTACAGACAATAACAACAGAATCTCATGTCAAAGCTACAGGGAAAGGATGAGTTGGTATACAAAATCTGTCTCTGAGCATATTGCAGTTGAGGAGAAAGATCTTTTTCAAAAAGCATTGTGGGATATTCCATTTATAGTCTTACAATAACTTAAACATCAGATCTTCTCAGTTAAGCAAAAAGATTTTCTGCCTACTTAGGAACACAGCCCAGCGTGAGATCACCATGCTGGGACCTCTTCATCTGGAAAATCAGTTATTAGCCAATAGAAGCTTGTGCAAGATTTTTTGATCTTCAAATGCCTGAATTTCGGCAAAACACAAACAAAAAACTTAAGAGTAAATCTGATTCCCAAATGTTTTTTGATCACCACTAGCAGTGAAACTAAGGCATGCATTGGTCATATGGTGAAAAAAAAGCCAAAGAAAGATGAACATGTTCTCTTTCCAGAAACCAGACATCACTGATTTTTTTCAGAGCACAGTAAGTAAGCCAGGGCTCATGGAGGCTGTGGGGCTGAGTGAAATACCTCGCTGTACACAAATAGTTGGACATAAATAATTCAATCCTGGGCAGATATCAAGGGTGTTGGCTGTTAACAGCATAGGTTTGTGTCTCTTCCATGTAAAACCAATTGACTAAACTTGGTTATAGGAAAATTGTGTATTTTTAATATCAAACCTGTGACTGTAGACAGAACTTAATGTGGCTACACTTCACAGCACAAACAAGACTATGGACACATTTGGGAAGAGCTGTTGCCACACACTTCTAACTGAACACTAACTGAAACTCTGAAACAGTTCAAGCAATGATGCACATGAGTAAAACAAAGCCTAACTTCTTCTCCAAGATGCACATGGGTCACGACAATCCCAATCCCAAGTACAAGTTGAGCAGAGACTGGATTGAGAGTAGTCAGCATAATGCCTCTAAGCCTTGAAGAGAAGGACTTGGGGTATTGACTGAGCTCAGCATGACCCAGCAACGTGCACTTGCAGTCCAGAAAGCCAACTGCATTCCTGGGCCTGCTGAAGTCAACACATCCCAGGAAGTGTCCAAGGTCAGACTGGATGGAGCTTTGAGATACCTGGTCTAGTAGAAGGTGTCTCAGCCTTTGGAACAAGCTGGTTTTCATGGTCCCTCCAAACCCAAACTACTATGATTATCCTAAAGCCTCTACTACAGCATGCATGTGGGGAAAAAAACCCCAAAAAACGTAAAATACCTCACACTACAGCAACTGTTTCTCTGTATAATTAAAAAACACCAACCCAAATGAAAACCTACCACAACAACACACCACCAAAAAAAAAAAAAAACCAACAAAAAATACCACAAAAACCCCACAAAAACAAATAACTCAGATCTTTTAATAATAATTTTTGAAGTGGAACTTAAAAACTGAGACATCTTGTCTTGGATGTTACTTTAAAATCCACAGTAAAACTGCTTTTCTGCCCAAAGCTTAATTTCAAAGATAACATAAAAACATATCTTCCTAATGATGTAGACATACAATTTTCAAAAATATTATTTTGAAGCATGTTTATTACAACTAATTTTGCATATACCGAACATTGCAACAGCTTGCATCAAAGGAAATTAATTCTGCCAGTCACTCACAATACTATTTTAATACAAAAGAGCAGTTTTCTTAAACACATTTTAAATATAACATCCAATATGTTACACCTTTCCGTTCTACTTTCCTTCACATTCCATCAGCAACTGAATGAAGTGCCCAGTTGCCCACTATGCCCTAAGAAGCAGCAGCCAGGCTTACCTTCCTTCACAGTAATGGAGAGCACAGATGCACTGCTCAAGCCTTGCTGGTCTTTCACAGTCAGCCTGAAGTGATAGGTACCAACCTGGAGACCAGTCACAGTTGCTATTGCCTTGTCAGTGTTTTCCATCTGTACAGAGCTTGGCCCACTGAAACAAAACATCTCACAAAAATAATTGTGCCCAGGCAGCCAAACTGTGATTCAACAGCATTGCTCAGGCCTTTTGATTTTATGTGTTATAGTTCTACTACTGCTGTAATGGTGGCTAAAGAACTACATAAGTTTAGTTCAGAGAATTCATTAATGCCTTTTTTGAAGACATTCAAAGCACCCAAGCATACATCCCGACCTATCAGAAGAATAGAAAAACCCCCCAGAAGTTCAACCTCACCACGGTTCTATTTCATGAGAGCATGAAAATAGAACAATAATTAATAGCTATTTCATGCAAATTAAATTGCTCTAAGAGCCACTCACAACCTGCACAGGCTGCCAGCAGACCTCTTCCTGTACCAGGTATGACAGCTGCATGAGCTAAAATACCTTGCCTTTTTATTAAAGATCAGTTAGGTTTGCACATAAACATAGAAGTATAAGCTTTTGTAAAATATTTTCCATCATCGTTCATAAGTGATTTAGTCACCCATTACTGGAAGTTCAAGACAAAGTGACTGATACTTTACTATTCAATAAACAAGTGACTGAGAAACCCTAGTTCTAAGCACAAATGGAAAAACTTTGTATATTACAGGATGCAACCCAAGCCTGCTACTTGCTTTTTAACAGGAGACATAGAAATCCCTGTAATTTTTTCTTAATTTTATAAAACTAGGCCTCAAAATTAAACATTGCAGAAGATAGACAGAGACTGCCTGAGCTTTTCAAGTTCAACTTAAAATGGCTATTTCTTACGCTATTACTACCCACGTGGGATTGTCCTGAAAGCAATTTTCAAACATAATTCCCGATTCATCATTCAACATGATTGGATAAGAGGCTCTAGACTCAATCATTTTCACTTTGTTCTCCATTTCACTGAGGATTAGTAAAATCTTTGGATACCTGATATTTTCCCAATGATAGAAGACAATGCCTTGGTCATCTTGGCTTTTGCTTCCATCCAGTGTAGTACTTTCTACTGGGAAGGTCAATTCCTTGTCAGGGCCAGCCACCGCTACTGGAGGACTGTTATTTTCTGCAAAATTAGTATTTAGTGTATGACATTTTCTAGGTAGTCACTGGCAAGTCTTGCCAATCAGATTTTACACAGGGTATTTTAGCAAAATTTCGACATATTGGCACAAAAGGTACAAACCACAAGTATAACATGTGCAAGCCATCAGGTGGGAGAGGTCAGCTCTGCAGCAAGCCAAATCCCATAGCAAGTGGGATCCCAAATCCAACTGCAAGTACTTCCCTTTTTCAATTGTCCTATCTAAAGGCATAGTCACATTCCCAAAAATCTTGCTGCATGCTCAATGCATTACATGAAATGTCATGAAACATGAGTGGTGGGGTATCCTCCTGGTTCAACCAGTCCATCCTCTTTAAAACATCCCACACAAATATGATTCTTTGCCCTCAGAAAAGATCCTGACTCATTCTGTCTGCTGCACAAGGCCACTAAGCTAATATCAATATACAGCCTTTGAGAATTTAGTGCAGAAACATAACCTGTTACTGTGTTTTCAGCCTCTGCTTTTGTGACGTCGTAAAACTGGCAACGCTACCATTTTCCTGATTATCTATTTACCCTTGAGCCTGACTTCAGACATCTTTCTAACTCCACACTATAACAGGTCATAAAAGGCACCACCACACACCACACTCTCAATTCATGTTCTTGTTTCTGCAGTGAATGACTACTGTAAAGTTGCCCGAGAAGGGATCTCTACGAAAGATGCATATTAAGCGGCAACAGAAGATAAAAGATTTCCCCATGGTGGAATGTGAGACCTGCACAGGGGCAGAAAAGGCTACTGTGGATGTAAAAGGCAAACATACTGTGAAAAAAAAGGCATTTAAAAAAAACCAAACACGAGGTCCAGATTATTTGAGCTTATTCATCATTTGGCTCTCAAACCTAAATGCACATTTGAAAGACGCAGCTTTTGAAAAGTCCTTGGTCAACACTTTTTCCTAGGAAGCACAATGCAATTTGTTTAAGTGAATTCAAATCACACAAGCACTCTTGCAGGATAATTGCAAAACAATTAGAAAACTGAACAAAATGCTGATTGATACTCTGAGCAGCTTTCAAAACAGACTCTGTAGGACATTAAACTCAAGAGCAACAATTTGGGTTTTAGAAGCATATTCAAACAGATCTCTGTTGCCTTACATAACCAAGCTGGTGTGACCCTCAGGTTCACCACCTGGATTTTGTCTGATTCAGCATTTGATTCTACACTTAACTGCCTGCTTTGACAGAAAATGGAGGTGGACAAGTCCCTGACCCAGGGGTACCAGGCACTGGGGCTGCCATATCAGTGGTACAACGTGGGGAGAGGAGGTGTTGGAGAGCGGCACCAAGGCACCAGGCTGGGCCAGCCCTGAGGGACCCAGATGTGCCTGCACTGACTTACCGGGCTGCACGATCAATGTCACCTCGGCTGTGGAGCGCTGCCGTGCAGAGTCTGTCACAGTCAGCTGGAATGTGTAATCTCCTTCCTGCATTGCGGAGAGCTGCAGGTACGGTGTCCGCACTCCCTTCGCAGCATCAGCAAGGACAGAGCACCAGATAAAACAGAAAGGGTTGTGGGAAATGAAAGGTCTTACAGAGCAAATGTAAGGAAAAATAAATGCTTGAAGTCATAAATACAGTGTTTGAGCAAGGAATTTATGCACCTTGCAGATAAAGAGGAGGCTTAAAATCAGGCAGAGGTAATGTGTTCACTATTGCAACTGTCCCTACCAACCCAGAGAAATAGCTATAGGCAATAAATCCTACTTTCTTTTGTTGGTATAACCACTGCATACACCGTATCTTCATAACAATAACTGTGAAACACATGGAAGACTACCATTCTTCATTAGGAAATTAAACACTGATGAAAATTCCTACCACTTATTCCATTTCATTAGGGATATTTTAAAAACAAACAACATGACATCATTTAGTACTTGTAAAAACTGTTAAATGCAAAACCAAGCTTGACTTGAGCAAATAGGGTTATGGAAAAAAAGCTCCATATTAAACAAGACAACTCTGTCCTGAATTTACTCTTCCAGCAGTATTTGCTGATACCTATAGAAGTCATAAAATGACTGGGCCCAACCCTAGGTCCTTTTGCTAATAAAATGAACATCTGTGGCATCTCTCATATGAGGAATACCAAATCATAACGCAAATAGGTTTGGCTTTCTTTTTTCTTTTGGATAAAGATGACAATAATAGACTTTGATAAACTATTAACTAACCAGCACAGGTACTTGTTACATTCACTCTAACAGTGGATATCACATAATACACCACAGACCAGCATCCTCTGGAGTGGTCAAAAGAAGGGCCATGAAGATGAGTCAGAGGGCTGGACATCTCTCCAAAAAAAGGCTGAGAAAGTTGGGGCTGTTCAGCTTGAAGAAAAAAGAAGGCTCTGGAGAGACCTCATTGCAGTCTTCCAGTACCTAAAGGGGGCTTATAAAAGGAGAGAGAGGGACATTTATATGGACAGACAGTGACAGGACAAGAGGGGATAATTTCCAAATGAAAGAGTGCAGGCTTACATTAGATATTAGAAGAAATTATTTACTTAGAATATGGTGAAGCACCACACAGGTTGCACAGAGAAGCTGTGGATACTCCATCACTGGAACTGTTTAAGGCCAAATTGGATGGGACCTGAACAATCTGGGCTAGTGAGTGACATCCCTGCCCATGACAAGGTGTTGGAACAAAGTGATCTTCAATGTCCCTTCCAACCCAAACCATTCTATGATTCTATGATACTCAGCTTCAGACACATGAAAAAGATTACTAGTCTGTTGAAAAGAAACTGTAACATACTTGCATTTCCACATTAAATACCCAGTGAATCTATTGGATAGCTCGAGCAGTCATTCCCTTCCTTCAGAAAGGTTGCTTTAAGATTGAACAGCTCTCAAAAACTACAAGTTCAGTTTGCTTGGGTGCTTCTGGAAAGTTTTTGTCTTGGTGAATGATCAGAAGAAGTCATTATGCTGTAAGTCCTTCCATAATTTTTAATTTCCTCTACAGTGTAGTCTTGCATTATTAACATTATTTCTTCCCTACATATATCTACAGTGATCTCTTTTCAGTTCTGAAGGTCTAAAGCATTTGCCAACATGGCAGAAATCAAGTCTTATAAAAAATGGCTCCTGAGTTTCAGCTGGATTCATTACATTCATTATCTCAACTGCCTATAGAGCTGGAAGAATCTCCAACTTAGTGAATGCAAGTCCAATGAAAATATTTATTAACTTTGAAGATTAAAAAAAAAAAACCAAACAAAACAACAACAACAAAAACAGTCATGAAAATAAGAGAATAAATTCTGTAAGCCCTCATTGGAAACCCAGGTTTTAGTGAGCATAAAAATCCACCACAGAACATGGCTGCATAAACACTGCCAAAAGGTCTTCTCATCTTTCACTCAGAAAATTCAGTTTCTATTTGAGTTCTACTCTCTCCAGAAGAAAGTGTTTCAAGAAAACTCTAACTATTCCCATATTCTCCTATAAGCAGTTTTCAGCCTGCCCAGAGCCTCAAAAGATGGGAGTCTGTGAAACAGCTTCCAGGATTCAAGGACAGACAATGTGATCTTAAAGTCTTTCCAGACCACCAGGGAACAAGCAAGTTTGTTTGGCCCCAAAGAATTAAAAAAAAAAAAAAAAAAAAAAAGAAAAAGAAAAGAAATTAAAAGTTGTATCTAAAATAAGAGCTGAATACATGTGAGAGAAAACAAAAAACATCACTCTAGGCATTTCAGTGCTTCTGAGCAGTTAGGTATGTTTTTGCTCATGTTAGAGGCAAAGATAAGAGAGCTTTTCAATCCTATGAAAGGAGAAATACACATACCTGCATTGCTACAACCTTGCCTTTGCTTTTGGGACTAAGTGACCACTCATAGCTGACAATTTCATGGTCATCACTGCTCTGGTTTCCATTCAGTGTGATGAAGTTCTGGGGCAAAGTAACTGCCTGATTTGGTCCTGCATTAGCAATAGGTGGATAATCCACTGGCTTGTTGACAGTCAGAGATGCAATGGTGGAGTTGGCTGCTCCATCTGAATCAATCACTGTGAGTCTACAACAGGAAAAACAGTATCTGTTAAGATGAACTTCTGCAATCTTCTAAATTGAAAAAATAATCTTTTTCTGGCACTTTTCAAACACCACCCAAACAAAAGCCACTGATTATATGATATGAACTTCTGCTTCAGAAACACATATTCCTCAACTAAGGCAGGAAAGAAATTAGGAAAACTTTAAAAGACAACTTTCAACTATTAACAAAAAAATCCCTAGATATTCTGAATTCCTTTACCTGCTGTCAATGGCAACTTCACCGTTCACTACAAACTCTTTTAGAAATGTACTCAGTAAAAAAACAAGGATTTTATTAATCACCCATAATGAAACAGTACAGAGAAACATATAAAACTACTCTGGATGTTCAGAAGCTCTGCTTATAGAACAGCAGACCCTCACTTCTTATTTCTTTGTGGCACATCATTACTAATTTTAATGGAGCTTAATATTAATGTCAAGTTACAAAACGAAAAATGTACAGGGTTTTAGGCCTCTCAGAAGCACAAAATAATCTAAAAATGAGATTACTGCAGGCACTGCAAAGGTGACCAAGTAATCTGTAATCCATTTCTGTTATGAAAACTGCATACAGCTGACCACATGGAAGGGAACATGAGCAGGAACAAAACTAGCGCTCATTACCTCAGACATTAGGGAACACATACATTTTGCAATGGGTCCACATCCATGTGTATCAAAGGCATTGGATTTTTTTGACCAGCTAATTTCTTGTAATCTTCAACACACTTCTCTACTGTTCAGGTAAGTCAGCCTCCTTCAAAGGTGCAGAGATGCAACAACTGACTTCTTAATTCCCTAGGGTTTGGAACACACTTAGAAGCATTGCTTGTAAGCCAGACTCTGCCCTTTTTAACATGGAAAAAAATTAACATTCATCTCTGCTACTGTCCGATATGGAACAATTCCAGTAAAAAATACAGAATTAAGAAGCAGAAGCTGTAAAACTTTTAGTGACTTATGCTAAGCACCACAGTTAATGTATAACTATGCTGGCTTCAACAATCTGTGATGATACATAAATAGATTTACTGACAGGCAACCCACTGACAGCCAAAGAACCCAAGCTGGGTCAGGGGGAAGTCTGCCTCTGTATAGACTGGGCTTTAAGTTAAACAGTTCAGAAAAAGGACTGATTTTTACTAAAGCGCCTTGAACCACAAACATTGCTTCCACTATCTGGGCAGCCCCCAGTTTCAGCAATGCATAAATGGAGGAAACCAGGAGCAAGGCAAATACTTTTATAAAGAACAGAATGACTTTTAGTAAAATCAGAGCATAACAATGTCTTGTGAGGACCAGTCTGCCAGTATTATCCTGTCTGCCACCACCCTGCAGAGGATGACTTTCACAGCCTGACTCATAGTTTAACTCAGGGCACTAGCCAGCTTCTAGGCTAGGAAACAAAATAGTCTGTCACAGTTGTTATTGCTGGAAGTGGGGACATAATTAATGATACCTTCTTTTCTGTAATTTTGAGTTATAAAGGATCACTGCGACCATTTTTTGATAAAACCACTCCATATGTTTATCCACTGTGCAAAATAAAGAATAACAGTATGCAGAAGAAAATTAAATTCTTTTGAGGAGATACGTGTGAGCACAGAAAAAAATGAACATTTAGCTGATGTCACAGATAAGCCCCCAGGAAAATCATCATGCAGGTACCTGAATGTGTAGTTTCCAGGAACAAGGTTAGACAAGTGCAAGACAGGTGTGTCAGCAGATGCCTTCTGCTCTCGCAAGGGACCTTTAATTTCCTCCCAGTGATAACTCACTATCTTCACATCATCTATGCTTTCTACATTCATTAAAGAACATCACATCAGTTTCTTGTAGCAATTACTGGAATGAATATTTAAGTCATTCATACGCTCATCCCTAACTGGTTTTCTACAATTGTTTCTACAAGTATAATTGAACAAGCTTCATTAACTACAAAGTCATACCAAGTTACCTTTGGTACGATTTATTGAAACAATTCTTCACACACATGAATGAAAAAAAATATTATCAGTCTCAGACTCTACACATTCTGATTTGTCTACACTCAGAAATTATGAATGTAGGTAGAACACCTCATCATACCCTATCTGACAGCTCTCTACTATGGCCCCAGTTGTACTGGCACAGAGGTTCTCTAGGCACCACAGGAAGAAGCCGTAAGAATAGCTGCTGTCAGGATGCAGCAGTCTGACACACTGCATCTCAATCTCCACGTGGAAGGTTGTGTTTTATAATTTTTTAATTTATTAAAATAATTTATAACTGGACACATATTCCCCCAAAAAATCATTATTCAAGGAACTTCTGAGAAGAGTGAGAATAAGAAATTTAACTTGTAATTGACAACCAATAATGTTGTAACTGTATATTAAAATATAGGATATAAGCACAGGATGGTCCAGTACATACGACTGCCATCAATGAAGGTAGAAGTTGTAGGCAAGGAAACTTCTTGCACTTTGGGTGAAGCAACAGCAACAGGTGGCTGGTTAATTCTGACTGCTGTGAGAAAGACACGGGAGGAAGAAAAAAAGGGGAAGAAAAAAAATATTAGTGAAAGCCCAGGCAAAACTAATGTTAAGTCTACAGATCAATAGTCCCCAGTGATTAAATCTAGGACACACAGCTTTGCAGCACCTGCTGTCCTTTTTGGACAAGGCAAAGAGGTTACTGATGACCAGTGTGCTGACACAGCAGTGTTCCACTGCAGTGCTCCTACCTGGTGTTATTCAGATCAGACCCCTGCACTGTAACCTGTAGATGGAGCTGGATCAGCACGTGATTGCTGTCCCTAGCTGGAGAACAGCACTAGGAAAGGCAGCATGATGATATCTCAGGCTTTGCCTGAGGAGGGGGAAAGACTAGAGAGTACTTAAACACAGTGAGTAGGACCCTTAGTTCTACTTTCTTAAAAGCCCTTAAGAGACTCCAAGATATGAAACACATCACCAAAACTGGACTGCCAGATGTCCTTGACAAACAGTAACTGAGTGACTGTTTGATAAGTAAGCTGTACTTGTGTCAAAAAAATTAATTATATCAGTCAACTGATTTACCTGGTTTGACTGTGACATTTACAAAACCTTCACCAAAGGCATTTTCACCAGAAACTGTCACTTTGAAGGCATATAGTCCCACTGATAACTGAGACAAACACAGAAAAAAAATAGGGTTACATATTGAATTATACTTAATATGAAGTATTATTATACTTAATAAGAAATATGCTTAAATCTGACAATCATATCACAAAAGAATAAATTTGGATGTCTGAATCCTCAAATTACTTTTAAAAACACATACATAAAAAGCCACTAGTCACTGCCTGGAAGTGGGGAAAATGAAGCAAACACTGAGGAATTTTTACTTTATCTTAGAAAATTATTAGAGCACTCTAAGATACTGGCATAACTTTGGTGACACAAACAAGTGAAGAGATGCAGTATGGCTTGAAGCTGTTTGAACTCCTTGGATCAAGGTGCTCTTCCCCACAAGGTTACAATTCTGTAAAAGGACCACACAAACATAATTAGACTGAGCTTACAGCTCACTTACATGAGAGAGCTTCAAAGTCTGGCTGTGCCTGCGCTCCATTTCCCCACTGTAGTCATCAGGGTGACTGATTAAGCTCCACTCATAGATGTAGGATGTTTCTAAGAATAATAACACAGTGTAAAAACAATCAGTTTTGTGTTCGAGATAAGCCCAGAGAACAAAGAAATCAAGTTCACCACTCATCAGATAAAATGCTACAGTATGAAATCATGACTGCTACTGTTTAAGCCTGTAAAATGAAGCAGTATGACCATATGTTAAACTCCCAGTGTGTTGTAACTTTGTAAAGCAGCAAGGATGTAATGGACTTCACAAATAATCAGCTTCTTCACAAAAACCAGCTTCATGTGAAGCCAACGTATTTTACATAGCTGCTTATGAAACATCTTTTACTTGCTCCTGCAGTTCAGAAGCTGGCAATTTTAAGGCAAATGTTGCATTCAAAACCTATTTTCCTGTCTTCCCTGAGCTTTACAGTAAGATGCTAAAAACTAGGCCACATCATCTTTTGGTAGAAATTACAGGCTTTCTATTGTACCATCTGGCTAATAAGTTCAGGTTCTGAAAGTAAAAGCCCCTTGAAACAAATTCCTCTTAAAAATCTAACAGAGTAAATCCTCTCTGCAGTTAGAGTCACAAAAGAGGCAATATTAGAAATGAGAAAAATTGTTTTATTCTAAGTGGTGGATGTTTACATAACTCAGAACTTGTCTGCATTTACAAGTTGGTAGTGTATGAATCTTCTTGTATACCAAGGCATTAAACTCACCTGTAGATGGTGGTGGGACAGCAAAGGCATTCAGTTCGACCTCATTTTTTGGTAACATCACTTGTATGTTATCTCCAGCAGACACAGTAAGTTCTTTAACTACATATAAGATAGGATGAGTACACTATGTTATAACAGATGGAACTGATATAAATTTAGTATCTTCAAATATTATTTGCAATGGATTAAGTAAAATTTGACAACTATTCTATACAGAACAGGCAGCAATAATTAAAAAAAATTCCTTAATGCATTATAAATTAATGATCTTTTTAATCATGACTGTGATTCCCTCACCTTTTACCAAACCAAAGTTTTTTTTCTTCTCCATCTATGAAGTGTCATTTCCCTACTTCTGTTTCAGAGAAAAGCATTCTCATTATTCCTTCATATCAGAGGTAACAATGCTCTGCATAAAGAGTTATGTATTGTTCTCAGTAATTGGAAGTGCAGGAATTAAAAAATACAGTTACAGAAGACAAAAAAAGCATAGTAGAACTTAATTATCACACTTTCTTTCACAAAGAAGTGCTACTTATATGTTTGTGTGGCACTTGTAAGGCAGGTTCCAATGTCCATCTTGTGTTCCTTTTAAGAAATCCACTTGCATAGCAGGGCAAATGGTTATTTCTTATCTGAACTGCCCATTCAACACACTTGCTATCCAGTCATTGTCTGTGAAAACTTTTATGCTTCAAAAAATGCCAAAGTACACAAAAACCGCCACCAGAAGAAACATATAAAAGCACAACTTAGGGAAAGTTTACTTAGTCCTGTATTTCAAATGTTTCAAATATCTTGCTTTTAGTATTGGGAAACCACAGAACAAAAGTTCTTAGAAGGCAGCATTCACTAGTGTGTAAATGTCCGGCTTACAAACTCAGAAGAGATGCCAAAAAAGCTACTCAGCAGTGGCAGCTGATGGGTCTAAAAATGATGCAGTGAAGACACTGAAAACACACTTTCTGTCACTGCTATTTAAATTCACCCAAGGCTTCACAACTGATCATAGAAGTTGCCCTACACACCTGTGGAGCAAAGGTTTGCACTTGAACTTTCACATGCGATGACAATAAAATGTCTAGAAGAGGGTAATGCCAAAAGAGAGAACGAGGGACTGTCATTGAGACTTACTAGACAGTCTGGCTGAGAACACACAAACTTCAGGCAAAAGCAATACAAAGCAGTATAAAGCATCCTTGTACAAAGCAGTACCTACAGTGAGATTCATCACAACCTTCCCTTCAGCTTCTTCTTCCAAACTTCTTTTTGAGCCCTCTTCAACCTCCTCCTTCACAAGAGGAGGAGGAAGAGCTGCCTAGCCAACAGGCAATGGTAATGATGATCAATTGTCTTGCAGAGGAATCTCTTGTAGCTTATCTCTTCCTCTTACCTTCTATTGCTACCCTTGCTGGCAGGTTGCATTTTGGTAGAGGGTGCCAAGTATGTCTGAAACCAGACTTTCTCTGCCAGGAAGCAGAGGGCTTAGCTCTCCACATCCCTCAGTACATTAGGAGTGCAGAAAAACACATATCTGTGTTTCTCTGCTTCTTGTGGCCCTTCTAACCCTTTGTCAGTGTGCACAGGGAGGCAAAAAACAGCAGGAGAAAGGAGATATATGAACATACACACAGAATTTAACACAGCTACAGAGGACATGGTAGTTAAAAGTCCATTCAAAATAAAACCATTTGTATTGCAGCTGTAAGTATGATAAGCTTCCCCACAGTTTTGGAATTAGAGTAAAATTTTGATTTCCGAGGATTTGGAGGCCATGTTCTCCACTGTTAAGGGCTGAGCTTCTCAGGTCCCACCTATGGTGCTTCATGGTATCTAGCAACTACTGCAGAGTTTCTGAGAGAGAGCAGTCTTCTGAAGAGTCACACCAAAAACAACAATACGGCTAGAAGAGACTATTCTGAAACCCCAGAAAGCTTCAGATATTGCTTACAAAGTAAAAAAAAAAAAAAACAAAACCAAAACAAAACAAAAAAAACCCCAAAAACAAAAAAAAACATTTAAAACAGGTCTTGATCTCTGCTTTTTACTTTGCTGTATTTCCTTGAGTTGTCATTTCCCACTAATGGTGGACTTGGTCAAGGTTTTGCCTCAGAATTAAGTGAGTATAGGGTCTGGGGTTTGCGGTGTTACTGTAGGTCTACAGGTTTAAAGTGGGATTATATAACATTTAGATAAAGAATGAGGCCTTACTAACAACAGGTTGGACACCTGACAGTAGAAAAGTCATCCTCACCCTCTGTCCAATCTGCAGATCCCCCCAGTCCAACCCCTCAGATAGCCAGCTCTGTTGAAATATTACCTGCTTGAGCAGCAGTAGCAGGTGGTGTGAACAGCTGCATGGGCTCAGATGGTGCAGTATTAGTGGGAAGTAGCATGATTTCACCTTCAGTGGCGTTCTCTGGGGCCACTGTGGGAGTCTGGGTTTTCTCTGACACACCTGGGGAGAAATCTGGTTCATCTGAAGAAAAGGAAAGTGTAGCAGCCTGAAACAAGTAATTATAGGGAAAGAGTTATTGCAGGGAAAGAGACATTTTTCACATTTCTAGATTTAGAGGTATGCTGTTTTTTAAATAGCATGTAGGATGACCATAATGATTTATGTTACTAGGAGATTTTATTAATGTACAGAATATCCATTGAACAAGGACTGGAGTTTTTTATGATCAGGCTTTGTAACAATTGCTAATAATTTTCCAAGTTTCAGATGTAGAACAGTCATGTGGTAACCTGGAATACAACTAATGCTACCAGTTACCAAAATATTAAAAAAATCAGTACAACGGGTCTAAATACAGTCATAAATCTTTAAAAGCCAATGTCAGAAAGTCTATGTGGTATTATTGTTTTGTGCCATACTTAAACATAACAGAGTCCTTGCTTCTTACTACATCTGCTCAGTACACAAGTTGTTAGTGCCTTTTTATCTCCTCAACAGTAACAAAACACCCTACAAGTCTCTACTTCAGGCATCAAGCAGCACTGCCTCACCATGTTACTAAGTCAGAACTGCAGCAAAGTACATGGCAAGTGTGGCACAAATAACTCAGAACTAGATTAATCTTGCCTTTCAACAACACATTATCCTCAATGGGCCAGCAGGTTTTTCTTAGGATTTTTAAGATTTATCTCTGATCTAATGATATGGGAAAAGCATTTTTCCAATTATGGCTACTTTGTTTGGCATGTGAAGGTACAGCAAAATGCTATTATTTGTACATTGTTTATTAATTGAAGAATAGGATTATGAAAGTTGGTGAAATGTACACTCACATCACAAATGGCTGAGGTGGAAAGGGACCCCTGGAGATAGCCCAGTTCAGCCCCATCCCCCAAAGCAGGGTCAGCTACAGCAGACTGCTCAGAACCAAATTCAGTGAGGTTATGAGTATCTCCAAGGACAGAGAATCCACCTCTCTGGAAAACTTCCAGTGTTTAGCCATCCTCAGAGAAAAAAATATGGAGTTTAGTGTTTAAATAAAATTCCCTGTTTTTCATTTTGTGTCCATTGTATCTTGTTCTGCCTCTGAACAGCACTGAGAAGAGCCTGGCTCCATCTTCTCCACACCCATCAGAGTTATTTACACACATCTGTAAAATCCTCTGAACCCTCTGTGCACAAAGCTGAACAGTCCCTACTCTCTTTGCATTTCAGGTGCTCTACTTTCCCTTTGCAGTTTGCCTCCCTAGGAAATAAGAGCAGCCCTGCCTTGTGGACAGGAGAAAAAGCTCCAGCTCCTTGTGCAGCTGGGAACGTGAAAGCAATGCCAGAACTGTTCCTTGCCAGCCTATAAGAAAACAGCACGGAAGTCATCTGCAACTCCATCTCAACCTTCAACAATGGACACAGAGAAAAAAATTCCTGTGCAGTGTCAGAGATTGTGGCTGCCCACCCATGAGGATGCCGAAAATAACGCCAAGAGCTGCACTTTTGGGCGAGTCCATAATACAGACAACACAAGCACCTTTTGGTCAGACCTCCAGCTCTGCTCCATAAGCAGACAGTACTCTCTGAGCAGCTGGACACTGATAGCAGGATCAGGGACTGCGGCTCACCTAAAATAGTGCCTTCAGGAATCTCACAATTGATAGCATCATGTACAGGGAAAACCTGGAACCCATCCTGCTTTTTATCTTGACAAAAGGTCTTGCCTCCAGATAGGCCTCCTTTACATGCTCACTCCAGTCTTTATAAAAGGATTTTCTTCCCACACGTGGGCAAACCACAGAGTTTTTTTGTCTCCTGAATTTGAGGGAAGTCTACTTTCCTGAGCTTCCTCTGGCCTCTCCTCTCCTCATCCGTTGCCAGTCCAGCAGATGAAAAGCAGCCATCATGGCTTTGTAGGACAGATGGAGACAAAGTCACCTCAAACGCACCTTTCCAGGGTGCCTCTTCTGCAGCGGCACCAAACATCACTTCAGTCAGCAAGCCTAGGCAAGACACTGCAGTCAAAAAAGGTGCCCTGTGGCACTGTCACGTCTGAAGTGGTGTCACAGCCAAAATGACAAACTAAAAATGTTAGCAGACAGCAGACAACTGGGACGGGGACAATATCAGAAATTAAGCTCTCAGACAGAAACTGTTACTGAGAGATTTACTGGAAAAGATGTGGAGTGCAAGATTAACCTAAATTCCAGCTTGAGAAGTGAAAGTTAAAGGAAAGAAAAGAATTCTTTCTGGGAGTGAGTCCAATAGGCAGCTCTGCTGGTAGGGACTTTGTGGGTTTTTGCTTTTACCCTTTTTTACAGCCACTATTGCTCGATACAAACGCACCAATGGTGAGGGCCCACATCCTCCAGAGGGCCCCAAATCCTCTGGATTTGACTTGAGTGCAAATCTCTTGAGAATTCCAAGAGAAAATAAGAACAACCATATAACATGAAGTACAGACTTCAAAACAGAAAGAAAGGTAAATCTAAATATCAAAACATCTTTCAGGAGTTTTAGACCTCTTTTATGGATCAAGCCAATGCATTTTTAACCAAACAGAACCTTTCAGCTTCTGAAGGCATCAAAACTGAAACAAAGCCAAAGCAGGAGATGAACATCTATGTTATTCAACTGCATTCTAAGTCTTAAATATGAATTCTGAAGGCAAGTCAATCAGACACTAAAAGGCTCACCACCACAGAGTCTGTCAGCCATCTTAAATTTTCTTAGGTAGAGATTTATATATTTTGACTGCACCATTATCCCTGCAAATACAATAAGCACAAGAATTACATCAGGCCTTAGCTGTTGAATAAATGTTTGGAACATTGCAGCATCAACACAGCCACAGCTAGACTCTAGCTAAGACCTTAAAAACCTTACTTGGCTTAGCAGATCAGCAGTTCACTGAAAAATTTAAAAATAAAATTAATTCCTTGCAGATACCTCACTTCAAGGATAGGCAACACTGCAGCTTTCAGATCTGGGCAGCTGGACAGAACATACTCTGTATAGATTTCTGAATGTACTTAAATTATTGAGCTGCCAGAGACTGACAGTCCATAAGATCCCTCTGAACTCTGATGTAAACCCAACAGTCAGGTGACTCACTTAAGTGACAAACTCCATATTCTCTCTCCCAAATCACATACAGAAACTCCCTGCATCTGACTGCATTTATGACAAAGATGCTCCGAGGGCACAGACTCCAGAGGTCTGTGTTTTGTTGGTTTCTCAGTTTAAAATCTCTGTGCAGGTCCTTGCTCAAAGAGCAGAGCACCTGACCCCACATCCTGCTGACTACTGTGAAGAGAGGGAATCAGGGAATTGTATTTTTGCCACCTTGCTCTGTCTGGCTTGTCACAACAGCTTTGTCTGGAAGCTGCAGAAGGGAGTGCGTCAGCACAGACCCAGGGACAGACACATAGAATTGCCATGGCAGAACTGAGAGGATAATAGGAAAACATTGTATAATGTGCAATAAACAGGGCAATTCATTAAATTTAGTAGCAAGCATGATTTTAAGACCTTCATATTTTCATAACCTATACAAAACCACCAGTTTGAGAGGTTGTTTGGATCATACACCAATGAAAAAACTATTTGGAGACCTCTTGGCATTTTTAATCTAGGGTAAAAATTTAATATTTCCTTCGTAACAAAATTTGGTTTTCAAAAACCAACCTTTTTCAGAAGGAAACACAAATATATGCTAAACAATCCATCTGAGATTTGATGGAAATGTCTGCTTGCTGGAGAAAGAGCCATAAGAAGGAAATTCTATCACCACAATATACCACAGGCAGCTTCAAAAATTAAAGTTCCTAAACCAGAAGATCTTGGAGCCAAGCTGAAAATTTGTATTAGGCATACCTGGCAGGGCTTAGGAGGCAGAGGACTGGCTGCAGGGGCCACCCTAGTGGTTCCAGTCAGTATGGCAGTGGATGGAATCAAGCCACCGTGCACCAACACCGCAACCTCTCAAACCTAGTCAAAAAAGGGCAATAGCCACTGTGGGCAGGGGACACAGGAGTATGTGGGGGGGATGCACAACAGTAGGCATAAGAGGAAACATCAGGAAGCAAACATTATTGTGCTGGAGACACTGTTGTGGAAACATGCACTCCATGCCACCTCCCAGGGAAATGAGGCCCACAGAGAAGCCTACATCAGTGCAGATGAAACGAAAAGGAAAGAACAGTGACAGAAAATAGAAAGAAATGACAAATGGCAGAAAGGAGACTGCCATGCACTGACTCCAACTTCCTGTGCCACTTGTTCCATCACCAAAGTGACCAAGCATAATCTGCAGTGAAAGAAGGGGAGTGGAGACTAGGAAGGGGAGATGTGTCTGGACTGAAGCTGATTCTAGGGAAGGTCAGGGAAAACTATTGCTAAAACTGCTTATCATCTCCATTTCTCCATCCATGTCTAAATTCAAAGGAATTCCCATCTGGGAAACAAAGGTCACTTAGGCTTTGGCAGTTTCTGAAAGCCTTCTGCTTCCCCAGATTCTTTCTTTACACTAATAGAGAGCCTTTAGAGCCACTTCTCAATACATGCCATGAACAGCTTTTGATGTTATCCCATTAACATGCTTTCTACAGCTGTGCTCACAGAGCACATCCCAGCCACCTTCTAACTACACTTGTCTTACCACTTCTTCAGCATCATTATCAGCTGTGGCTAAAGACTGACCCAGGTTTGGCATTTCATCCCTTCTGCACTGAAAACTGCAATCTCATTTCTCAGCCTTTCTATTGGAATTTCAAGTGGCTGTGTATTGTAAATCCAGGCAAACCCGATGGGAAGAAATGATGATGTCTGACTCAGTTCAGAAGGCTGAATGATTTCTTTATTATAACTATGCTATAATACATTAATATACTATATAAAGGAAGATACTCAAACTACATACTACTTTCTCTAACTACCAAATCTAACTAACTCCCAACTTGTGACCCTGTTCTTGGTAGTCCAGCCCCAGGTGGATCTGATTGGCCATCAGGCTCAAACAATTCTCACCAGAATCCAATCAAGCAATCACCCCATGTAAACAATTCTCCAAGCACATTCCACATGAGAAAAACAAGGAGCAGAAATAGAAATTGTTTTCTCTTTCTCTCTCTGCACCTCTATTAAAAATCCTGAGAGAGAGAGAAATGTCCCTGTGACAGCTGTGCTAGTGTAATGTTAGCATAATATGAAGATCACACATAAATGATTGTGACCTGGTAAGAAGTAAGTTTCTCTCCATTTCACTTTACAATAAACTCACATCTACAGTCAGTGTAAAAAGATAACGTAAAATCTTTATATTCTAGCTGGAGTGGGAAAACCAAAGGAGATTTATCATTGCTCAGGATGTGAAATCTCAGCTTTCATAAAATATATTCACATGATCCCTTAGAAACATGGAACAAATTTGTTCAGCTCTGACACATAGTTTAGGTGAACCTGAAGTTTTATGACTCCTCTAAGGCACAAGACATAAGCAGTTCAGTCAGCAGGGATCCTGACAATTGGCTAAAGATCAGCACGATGCTAATGGGTCTTCCATTAGACAGCAAAATGCAATGGAAACAAGTTTCAAGTCTTTTTGCACACCTAAAGTTTACAAATATGGTGGAGCACATAGCTACTGCAGGTTCTTGGTGTGACTTGATTTCCATTGCACTACACAGGCAGAAACTAAAAGATGCTTGCAAGTTTCCCCTTGCAGATGGAAGGAAATATGGGAGATGGCTTTAGTACTGCAGTGGTTGGGTGTCCTTAATTTTAGCTCAGCTATTGCCCTGACTTAGAACTAACTGCATCACTAGTGCATGACAGAATGTCACTCTAAATTTTATGAGCAGTGACAGTCTACTTTGGTATTGTACTCTTCATATGTACATATAAATATACTTTTTGCATACTAAGAAAAGAACCATCAATATCTACTCCTCTCACCTAAATCCCCATGTTAATTATGCTAATTTCAAAGTGTGCATGGTAGGAACTTTTCAAAACAGGTCTCCAGTCATTAAGTCTGCTTGCAGAAGCAGTACCTGATTTTTAGTTTGCCACAGCACTCATTCTGTTGTCAAGTGTTCTTCCATACACATGAAGACAAGTTCTAATCTCTTGTCACTTGTGCCAATACACTCCAGACCAACTTCTTCATAAAAGTTACAGGCTACCTTGACTCTACAGGAGGTGGTCCTCAAAAAGCAGCCTGCTGTCATGGCCCCCACTAACTCCAGGGCAATCTCCCTTGCAATTCTTCCAAATACAAGCCAAAGACTGATCTACTGTAGCCTATGGTTGTGACCCTGCTTCCTCACTTATTCCTGCTCCTCTTAGAAGCATCTACCTCATGCCTACAATCCCTAATTAATTATTTGTTTCCTGCAAGGGTGAGGTCCAGGAGAGTCTCGCCTTCTCAACTTCTGGAAGCAACTCAAAACAATACCTTCTTAAAGTTATCAACAACCTTCAGAAACTTTCTGCACAGCCTTTGCCCTGCTCTCTTGCCCTCCCAGTAGGTATTCAGGTGTCTTAAATCCACCATGAGGACTGGGGCTGTTAATAGGAGGTTCCATCTGGTTACCTGAAGTCTTTATCTATTTCTTATGACTTGCTGCTCTCCACACATCCCCTCCCAGAACTGCAGCCATCACAGATTTCACGCAACTTTCTTATTTGCTTGCATTTTTCTTCCCTACAGTAACAGCAATAAATTACCTTTTTCACAGAAAGAGATACTTGCTGGTTACAAAATCAAGTAGAATTTAGAGCAAGTCATCTAACATTGATCAATTTCCTCTTTCCTCTGGCAAGGGGAGTGAAACCCAAGGAATGCTGAATTTACAGCCTGTCTAAACTTTCCAACTGAACCCACTGTTTTTAAGAAACCAAAGCCCCTTTAGTCTTAACTGACCAAACTAGTTGGCATAAACAGAGAACAGGTGCACTTTACAGAAATAGAGATCAGGTGCATATTACTTATACTGACATTTGCATTGGATTTTAAGTAATTAACTTATTTTTCTAATTATCAGACTCAAGGAGTCTGAGAACAGAAACACCTTATCCACTTTATCCTGCTGCACACCATGGTCCAAAACCACTATCATCCCTCCTTAAGCTCCATGCCCTCTCATGTTTTAAAAACATAAAAGTTAATTCAGCACTTATACCTGTAGCACCACTGTGCATCAGTAGCATGGAACTCATGAAGCAGGCCTAATTTTATCGATGGAGGAGCTTATGTTCCCTGATCCTGGCCTTTGGATACCAGAGGGTCTACTAGTACTGCTCTGCTAACTTCTTCCAGTGAGTCACCAGGGGTCAGAAGTGAAGACCACTGTAACACTATTACACCAGGTCCAGGTTCACTCATTTGTACACTTACAAGGAAATCTCAGAGTGCCCTAAAAGGAACTTTATTCCTTATCATCTGATGAAAAAAAAAAAAAAGTCCTTTAGGGATTCACCTGGCTCTTAAGACTCTAAAGCCTCTTAAGACCCTTCAGCCTCTTCTACATGGTAACATGACTGTCATTTGAGAGTTGTAATATTACAAAGCAATAACCTCATATTTTCAAAGATTTGAAAACAAAAATTAATGCCAAGTATCCTGACCATACTCTGCCTGCTTCGTTACCTCTTTTTGCAAAGCATCCTCAGGTTGCTCAAGAAGTGGAACAGCTGCTTTCCTTTCAAATGTCTTCCCAGGGAGTGGTGTAATCTCCAGAACAGACGACCTCTCTGTGGAGTGTTCATTGATGGAAGTCTGTTCAGAGCTGTTTTTATTCAAAAAGCTTTCCACCTTCCCAGCCTCCCCTTTCTTTTCAACAAAATCTTCTTGGTTATCTCCATCATCCCCTGTGGAAGTATTGAAGCCATTTTCCCCTGCCACTATCAGGCCCCAGTCAGCATAATCCATACTGTCCTTCTGCTCATGTTTGATGCCCATCTGAAAGGGGTCCTGCTCCAACTCTTTATAATCATCAATGTATTCAGGTATCTCCTCAAGGCTGGGATCTTTTCCAAGCAGAGACAGCTTCTTCAGGCTACTCACTTCCTCTGACGGCTCATTCTGGAGTCCCACAGAGTGCACCATGCTTGGGATCACTTGCCCAAAGCCTAGCAGTGAGGCTGGCCTCTGAGAAGGCCTCAGCACAAAGGTAAGGTAGGACTTGACAGTATCAATTTTTTTAGGTTCACAATTGTCCTTGTGCTGGCAGTTCACGATGTAACAGCGCCGTTCAAACATCCAGGACAAGTCACAACCAGAGAGGTCACAACACGCTGCAATGCAGTCGGACACTGACAAAGCATGAGGAACTCGCATGATTTTAGTGGTTTCTAAGTTGGGAGATATTACTGCATCTGAGTATGTGGCTCCTTCTCTGCACTGCTCACAACTGGAACCTGCAACAACACCACCAACATAAGGCACAGCACTACAACCAAGTCATAATATAGTTTACTGTGACCATAAATAGCTTTCAAGATAGAGACACATGGTATTCTGTTTAAAAAAGCACATTTCCTTTCACTAAAATCAACACTACCTTTTTTAAGCATGTCTCCTTTGCTGTAATATTTGTACTTTGGAGGATTTTCCAGTGTAGGACCTTTACATACTTTGCAGTAGTACCTTTTACTCCTGTACTACCAATTCAAATACATAGAGATGAAAGCAAGTTGCCAATGCTTAAAAACAAGAAAAGAACAGAGAATACAAAAATCATGGGATACCTGTATTACTTCCACAGCATGTTCCTACTGGAATCTTTAAAAACATGTTTTAAAACAAAGCTCAAATAAGATGCTGTAGCATGTCATTGTTTCACTTGAGGGAGAAGGGAGCAAAACTCTAGGAGAAAGATTTGTCATCACATCTGAATGCCATGAAGAGTCCTCACTCCAATATACTTACTGGTCTTAATATAAAACCTGGATCAATTTCTCAAACTTTTGCTGCTCCACCCACAAGTTCATGTAAAAATCCAAGAACTTGCCCCAGTATGGAGCTCCTGCCTTCATTTCCAGTAAAGCTGAAATATTTTAACGTAACATCAGAATTATTTTCATAGCACATTACAGACTGAGTGTGAAATGGTCAAAAAAAGCATGAATCAACATATTATATATATGTTATATATATATAATATATATAACATATATATATATAAATATATTATATGTATATTATATAATATAAATATATTATATATAGCATATAATATATATAATATTGTTACATTGTGCTCATGGGCACTCTACTCCCCCTTCCCCGGAACCCTGTGACTCTGATCAAGATAACCCCGGACCCCTCCTTCCTGCCCCAACGGGGTTGGCAGAGAGCCAGGGAAGCCCACCCTGTCCAAAGTCTAGATAAACCCCTGACATTTCCTGTTCGTCCTCTTTTGCCCCGCTCTCCCCATGGACATCACAGAATAAAGAGAACTGCACCAACATATATTGGGGTAAGAGCCTCTTTTAGAAATCTTTTCCATCTCCTGACATTCCTCCCCTCAAAGCCTCGGATCTCTTGGCTACCCTGATAATTCAGGGGGCTGAAGGGGGGGGAAACGTCATAATATTATATATATAATATATATAAATATATATTATATGTATTTGATATATATATCAGCATATAATACATTATATATATTATATATATTTAAGATATCTTAATATCTTTTCTAGGTGTTTTTTCCCTGGTTATAACTGCTCTTCAGAATTCTTCTCCCTAAAATCTGATTATGTTTCAAAAAAGTTGAGTAAAATCAGAAAATTATTCTCTTTGGTTTTCAACTGGACTTGCTATCTCAATGAATGAAAACAAACATGTTTTTTTTAGTCAAAGACCATCATGCACTGTGGAGCTTACAGGAATGGAAGACAAAGCTGACTTTGCCTGCTTTGTGCCTCATTATTCACAATAGTATAGGTCAGGAAAAATGAAATCAAAGAGTAGGAACAGGCTGGCAATAGGGGTTAGGTCTGAATGAGATGCAGAGATTCTCCAACACATGCAATGTGTCCAGCACCATATCACAGTCCCCACCACCTCATCTGGGCTGAACTGTACACACATCTTCACAGTACGTGGTCTGAATACAGCTATCAAAATATATGTGGGGAATCAAACTGCCTGGAAAGAATGTCCAGCTTGCAAAGTAGGTTAGTTCAATACAAAAAAAAAACCCAAGAAAACAAATCAAGCAAACAAAAAATATTTCACCATATATTGAGGGATAGAGTGGTCAAGATGGTATGATGGTTTTGCACAGCTGGCTTTGTGGGTAAGGAAAAACATGAAATGAAGCAAATCTTAAAGATTGATGACATGCAAATAGGTATGGCTGAATAGGAAGCTGACAAAAAGGATAAAGAGCTTCAAGTACCATTTTTCTGACTACAGCTACTCCTTCACACAGAGCTAGGATGCTGTCGACTGTTCCACTTTACACTTCCCGTGAAAAAAAATCTATCCAGGGAAATACATACTTAAAACAACCTATCCTGTTCTTACATAGCCCAGACATAAAGTATCCATATCTGTACCCAGAAGATGCTCAAGATTTCTGCATTTTTTTTCTGTTATGATGCATATAAACATTTTCTCTACGTTCCCTTTTACCTCCAATAACATAAGACCCTGGCAGAGACTCGGAATTGTCATCACAAGCCTTTTCTTTGAGTTGTCTGCACAACTTAGAACAGGGGAGCCAGAAAAAGTCTGGGTTAAAATGAAGTATAGGAGTCAGGCATCCCATTCAAACACTGTCTTTTTGCAACTCATATGCCTTTATTTAATCCCATAAATCAGTAGAGAGGTGAGTAACAGGCATTTAAAAAGGGAAAACAGAAACATGACTCTGTGCAAATGTGTAATATCAGGTCAGTAACAAATCATTACAATGAATACTTTAGGAACAGCACTATTAGTGTAGGTCAAAAAGCTCCTTTGATGGTTGTTTTCATCACCCCCTTCTTTAACTTATTCCTGAAACAGAAAGTGAAGAGGGTGTTAAAAAAAAATAAAACTGAAGGTTTCACTATTTATTTGTTCAGAACAGAATGACCAATAGATCTTGCTTTAGAGACAGGCATACACAACTGGGACACTCCATAGCTCTAACCTGAGGCCGGACTTCAAGTCCTCAATCAGCTTCAAATCTCACTCCACCACTTTCAGTTTGACACATCAGTTATCACACTGCAAAGTCAACATACCTCAAAATTCATGGTGCTTCTTTAGCCATAGAGAGAAACAAGTCCAGAACATTCCTAATATGATACATGACTTTGAATCTAGATCTCCCAAGTACGCAACCTAGCCACAAACCTTGGCTACCTGCTTTTGTAAATGTCAGATAGCCTTGGTTTCATCCCAACAAGGAACAGAAAAAAATTTCAAAGTAATGGAAGTTTAATCTCTTGCTTTATCTAGAACTTGAGTTGAATTGTAGCAGTAAGTGTGCAAGAAAGGATGAATTTATCAAGCTATTTTGGCTTCACACTGGGTGTGTTCACTTCACATGAAAAACGTAAGATCTACTAAGAGTGAACTTGATCTGATCTCTAATTTCATATTCTCCTATATCTCATCTCCAGTCTGCAGTAGACTCAAACAGAGATAGTGAGGTCTCTTATTTACAGAAAATTCACTGAAGGTGTGCAATATGAAAGGTCACTTAGTCTGCTATAGTATTACCCACTGTGTGAGGTCATAGCACAGCTATTTTATTTTAGTTAACTGATCTCAGGAATTTCTGACCAGTAATGGCAAAAACCAGCATCATGCAATTCTCTGTTTAGAAGAACTCATTCAAGTTACCAACAGGAAGACTGGTTCCCTTTATTAAAAGCCCCCAAAACTCTCTAGAACATGAGTCAATAGCCTAAAACTTCTGCAAGCTTCTCTTACATCTACAGTAGGACAACACTGACATATCCAGAGACCTAGTCAGACAAGTTAGTTACCATAAAAAAACTCCCAACCTATATCCCCTAACAAAATCTTAACATAGTCACAGTGTGGAATACAGTTTCATTTTAAAGATATTCCCTCCTTTAATGAGGAAACATCCACACCTTTCTTTGAGCTTCACACTACTACTCCTTCACATCTTGGAGCATAAGTCCATTGATGTGAAGAGCCCATTGGGAACACAGCTGTTTCCCTGTTGCAGTTGGCTGGAGACCTTTCCTCAAGTGGACATGGAAACCTAAGAGTTTCTTTCCCCCATGCTCACACAGCCATAAGCACTTGAAAGATTTGGCAGCAAGTATTCTTTAGTCAGTCAGTAGAAAACTGTGACAGTGTACTAACACTGAGTTCATCACAGCTCATCACCCCAGGAGGAAGCCCTGCAAGGGCAGAACTATCCACTCTGTTTGCTTTCCCTAGCAGCAAACACTGTAAGAAACAGAAAAAAGTGGCAAGAGGAAATGTACAATAATAGAGAAAAGCTCAGATTCAGACTTGCACCAAGAAATGTCACATTTGACCAGAATCCCATTACCTTTTTGCTGGCAGCAGAACATTGAAAGCCCACATAGCACTTATTCTCACAGCCTAAAAGCCTCTGAACTACCAGAGCATGGAGGATCCTATAGCAGTTTGCTAAAGGAAGAGTAAGATCATCCCTGTTTTCTCACCATATGCTCTATCCACTCTCTTTTGGCAGCAAACTAGTTCTATTATGTTTTTAGGCTTAGTGATCTTTTTTAAAATCTGTTCAAGTAACTTCTACCTCATTTGGTGAATTTTGAGATGAAAGACATCGTATCAGCAAAAAATAAGTTTTGTTTTTTCCTACTTCCATTATAACACACTGAAACAATTTTGATAAGTTTCTGGAAGAAAAATTAAAATAAGTTTTTAATTTTAGTTACAGTCATCTAAGAGAAGAAAGTAAAAAAATCCAATTTTCAAGTTAGAGATAATTTCCACAGCAGAGCTATAAATGCCTGCAAAGCACACTTCATATCATAAATGATGAAAAAGACTTATATTCCATCAGCCTTACAGAAGGTACTGTTCTTGAAACCAGAAAAGCAGTATCACTGACATCTGAAAATTTCAACATCTGAAATGTCACTGCATTGGTTCCTCCAGCAGCAGTTAACATCCCTGCATACCATGAAAGCATTTTCATTCTTTTACTGCAGGCTGCCCTGAGGTTGTCTCTCAGGTCTTTGAACACAGATACATATGTGATAACAAAAGCTATCAAGAGTAAATATCTGCAAATAATGATCTGCAAAGCCTTTATGGTCATTACAGCAGTCTTCTCACTTCTTTTGTCCAGAACCAGTCAAGGCTTCAAAATTAGTTCAGTGGGTCTGATGATCCTTTTCAAGTATTGTTTTCATTCAATGAATTCTCATCATCCCTGTTTGTCGCTGATAAACCAGCTAAGTGCCATTTAAAAAGAAGGGGGAAAAAAAAAAGAATAATAAAAAAGAAGGGTAGATGCATGGCTGCAACTGTTGCATCCCTCCACAAGGAAATACCAGACCACTTTCAATGGAGGTATGGACAATGTGAACTAACCTGGCATATGGCGTAACTCACTGTGATCCCAGGGATTGTAATCAAGCACTACACCATCTTGTAGCAGTTGTGCTACAAGTAGTAGCACTACTACAAGACCAGTAGTAATGAAATGTGTTGAAAATTGAGGGCTTGTAATATATTTAGAAACACCTTCTGCTAGAGTAAAGAAGAGAACATTGGTGAAGGCTATCAAGGATTCAGGGAGGTCATATAATCTACATCTGGGCTACATGGACTTGAAAACAGGAGACTAGATGACACAACACCTGTGACTGCAATTACCTGGCAATCGCTGTTTATATTTTTGTTGGAGTGGCTAATATCAAAACAAAGCACACAACACAATACGACAAAACCAAGAGTCAATCATAATCTGCAATAATATTTGCAGAAATGCATTTTAACAGTGGTATTTGCAAGGTCTGTTTCAAATTCCAAATTAGAATATGCCTGCTCAAGATGAGAGCTAGACTTAATTGCTTCCAAGATACTGAACGCTCAGTTGCAAAGTAAGCTCACTTTCCTGTGCTGGAAAACAATGTCTCCTCTCTCATAGAGAAAAAAGAAATTGATACATTAGCAAAAAAACATTAATTAATGGCAGAATAATTGAAATGTATTTCAATATATGCTGCTTTCATCAATGAATGGATTCAAAAAAGTGAAATGAATAAGCACGCTAAGGAAAGTGTACATGGATAAATTAGGAGCTGCATCCAGAGATTTTGGAAATCAATCACCTAAAATGCATGAGATGTTGAGTGATAGAGGCATGGTACACACTCATACCTATTGCTACACTCAACTCAAGTGTCCTGAGAAGCATGAACATTAGTCAGTGGTGGATATGTGTATCAATTAGGTTTATGAGGCACATCATGGTAGTTCAGGGCAGGGGTAAATGGACTGCCAGAATGCCTTTGTGAGAAGACACCAGAAAATGCCCCATGTCAGGACAGAACTTGTTACAAGACTGACTCACAACTGGCCAAGGTTGAGCCAAACAGGAGCGGTGGCAGCTCCTCTGTGGTAAGGTTTTAGAAAGGGGCAAAAAGTCTGGCACAACCACAGCAGGCAGGAGAGAGGAGTAAAGAAAATGTGAGAAAAGTCATCCTGTATACAGCAAGGTCAGTGAAGAAGGGGTAGGAGGTACTCCAGTACCAGTGCAGGGATTCCCCTGCAGCTGTGGTGAAAACCATGGTGAAGCACTGCTTCATTGTTCTGCTGGAGTCCATGGAGTTCCACAATGAAGCAGATACCTACTCCTGAAGCCCATGGAGGACCCCACCTCAAACCAGGTGGGAAAGCCCTGAATAAACTTCTGAACCCTTGAAAAACCCAGGCTGGAGCAGGCTCCTGGCCTGAACCGCAAGCCCGTGAAGAGGAGTCCACACAGAAACACATTTTCCAGCAGGGCCTGTGATCCCACAGGTGATCCACACTGGAACAGCCCGTTCCTGATGGACTTTCATGCGAAAAGGACCCATGGTGGTGTAGTTCTTTAAGAATTTGAGCCTATGGGAAAGACCCCATGCTGGAGTAGGGAAAGGGTGTGAGGAGAAAGGAACAACAGAGAGGAAGCATTATGAACTAATTGCAACCTTCATTCCCTGACTCCCTGAGCTGCTCATGGAAAGAAAAAAGAATAATTGGGAGTAAAGTTGAATAAAGAAAGGTGTTTTATAGTAGTTCTTACTTCTCATTATCCTGGTCTGCTTAATTGACAATAAATTAAATAAACTTCACTAAGTCAAGTTTCGTCAGCTTTTGACTGTAACTGGTATGTGAACGAGACATGACCTGTCTTGATCTCAATCCATGGAGTTCTTAATCTTATTTTTCTCTCCTATCTTGCTGAGAAAGGGAAGTGACAGAGTGACTTGCTGTGAGCCTGGCAGCCAGCAAAGGTCAACCCACACATTCATTAAAAGCAGTAAAACACTATCAGTCAAAAACTATCATGGACAAAATAAAACTAAATAAACATCACCTAAAAAGGACAGAGTAGCCCATCTCAATTTCTTTTAATGAACCAGAACATATTTTTCAATATCCTTCCAACATTATTCATCAGTGACGTTGTTTCTGTTTTCTCTCAGTTATGGAGTATCAAGTCTTTCCTTCCTATATTACATAAGTTATCTTAAATTAAAACAAGTGTTGAGATAACTTGGGTTTTTTTTTTTTTTTAAGAAAAGGTAACCTTTAAAAGCACAAGCTTGTGTGCATAAAAACCTGCAGAATGAACATCTAGCAAATTCCTGAGTCTCAGCCAATTCACCTTAAAGCCTGCACTGAAAATAAGTCCTTTTGACTTAGAAGAGATAAGCATTTACTGATACATTGTAGCAAACACATCCTGGAAATTAGCAGGAACCTCCCAGTTTAATTAAATACTTATCATTTTTAATTACATTGTTATTATTTTAATTAAATTATTACTAATTGTGTTAAAATACTGCGTATTATTGAGATGGAATTAAATACCAACATTTTTAATAAAATAATGTGAGCTATTAGATTAGATTATCCTCTAAACACTGCGAGCCGGTAGTTGAGATACAGATAGAGGCTTGAAATACAGCCAGGATTCTGAGAGCAATGGTCTTGTTCCCAGATAAAGTAAGAGAGCATAGCAAATTTGCAACTAAAACCAGATAACTTCCTATATGCATGTGAAAGATGTTCTAATCTGCTAACAATTACAGTAGTAACAAAAGCATGAAACTGTGACATTTTCTACAGGCAAATTTCAGTATTTACTCCTCATTACTGTCTTTTGCTGAAGCTGCTGTGGGCTTTTTTTTTTTTTTTTTTTCTAAAGATGATAGCATAGACCCTACCACAGATACTCAGTATCTCATAGGAGAGGATTTTATTTACAAAAGTCATACTGCTTCACTAAAGCAAAAAATTACTCAGCTCCATGTTCTCTTCAAAAAGCTTGGCACTATGAGATCCTCATGGTGATCTTGATGTCTATCTCGAACATCACCTACAAGCTCACACATAGTAAATGACTATCCCCCTCACCTGTAGGCTAATATCCATCCCCTTTCATTCAAGTTTTCCAGATTCAGCAGTCAGTTTAAGCTTCAGCACATTAAGCAAGTCTCTCCCTCATGAAACAGCCCATTTGGTTTATACTACAAGAAGTGAGAGTCAGACAGTGGTGCATTATTTTCTCAATTTCTGCTAAGAAAGATACTACTACTACCACCACAGATACAACTCAATATTTTAAAAGGAAATAAACCTCACTTCTTAATATATTTTTATTCAGTTACCATATAAAAACTACCTGCACCAGATTAAGTCTCTGTCTAACAGAGGCAGTATTAATTATCATTCTTCATCTTTCTGGTTATGGAAATAAATTACCTATTCCTGTGGCTGAAGCAGAAACTTACAGGACTTTTCCTGTGTTTTTTTAAGGATAGATATGTTTGTAGAGAGTATGGTGAGGTGAGAGATGTGAACCAGTGCACTCACACTACTCATATATAAACCACCTTATGATAATTCAGAGCAAAAATGTAGCAATGCAATACAAGCAACACATTATTCTTCAATTGTTCTCTTGCAAGTGAAAAGGAGGGAAAACTCTTTGAACTCTCCCACCAGCCACTGTTGACTCATGCATCTGCCCCAAAACAGCCTGCTGAAATTGGCTTCAAACATCTACTCACAACTGCCTTCCTCCATTGCAGCTTATGAAGCTGTAACATACCAAAGCTTTTTGCACTAAGAAGTCACAAGATTTCCCAGCTTTCACCTTATTCATATTTATTTCACAGCTGTATACACACTCAAGGAGCTTTAATTCACTTGTTCTGTCTGGATGAGTCAGACACAGGAGTACTCCTACCTGTTATTGTCCATAGGAACAGGCAAAGAACACCAGGTCCAAATGCCATGCTGAACCAGGAAGGCAGTGACAACCGCTTTTCCAGCCAGTCGTGTGGAAATTATAGGTCTTAATGCTGAGGCTTTTTTCTGATATTGTTTAGTGTCCTGCTGTGGCCATCAAGCACTGAAACAGACAGCACAGGAAAAAAATAGGTCAGACGTGAGCATTAATTAGAACATCACAGTTAAAGACAATGGACAGGTGACATGCAGGCTTTTTCATTACTTCCTGACTTCTGCATGGATGACATAGTAGATCAGATACACTGATGATACAGAACAAATTACCCACCTGGAAATCTCTTTCTCTAGAGATACAGAAAAATCCCAGAAATAGTTGCACTCTTGGCCTCCAGTATCTCAAACCCCACAAATATGCAGAGTCTGTAGTTATCCAGACCCTGGTTTAGCTATGACTTTAAACTAGCAAGTACTTTTAACCGAGGAATCACAGACAGCATTTTCTCAGATTTAGCATTCATGCTAAAATCCATGCAGCGTTAAGTCAGCTTTTGATGCAGTGCTCAAGCTATTCTTTCCAGCTATCAAGGCAATGCAAGCAGACCCTACTCCAGAATTTCTAGGGAGACATTCCTTGTCAGGACACTAAATTCTGCAAGTAAGGTATCCTGAGCAACAAATAGACGTAAGGAACAAATAGTTCAAAGCAACATTACTCATGCAAGACTCATGCAAGGAAAAAACTAGCTTAGTCAGACTCCCCCCACATTAAGGATCCTAAATGCATGCTTGACCAAGAATGACTTCTGTAAATTAAAGCACAGATAGTGTTTCTTTCAGTGAACAGCCCTTCTCTAGGCAGAGTATCACACATTCATTACATGACTTTCATATTTCAGCTGCCTGTATCTACATATGATAGAAATGCTGCTAACTGGCTGCTCTTGGCAGGTTCTTTGTCACATATCATTTTATATGATGAAAAACCATCTAGGTTTTTTCCCTTGCAAAAGGAAAAGTTACTTAGACAAGCCAGGGCTGTCTGAGCTTGAGTAGAAACCCTAGCAGCTCAGCAATTGGACTTTTGCTCCCCCAAAAGGGATCCTTTATAGATGGCATGTATCTAAATCACACACACAACTGGACCCCAATCTGCAACTTGCACTTCTGTGACTGACCACAGCTTTTCCAGAGCAAGACATGGATTTATATCAACATGAAAGGGGCTAGATGTTTATTTTAGACGTTAGGAGTTCTATCAACAGCTGAGTGGATCAACTGATGGAGTAAATATTTCCCCCAGTTAGTTCATTAAAGATTACGGCTGCCTCCCTGGGCAAGCTGCAGTAAAGATGTGCCTTAACTCAATACAGAGTATAAAAACTAAAAAACTAACAAAAAAATTTAGAAGACAGCAATGGGCCTGAGCTGGCTTCAACCCATATGTTCCATTCCAGTGGCAGAAGATGCTCAATGTTGTGATGCTGGGATTATAGAAACCAGCGATGGGAATCATATTGATATTATTCAGATAGAACTGTATATTGGCACTGCTACATTTTGCCAAGTATAATGGATACAGCGTTGTGTTCAGCATACTTAATATTGCTTCACTAAATCAGAAATCCCATGTCACAGTAAGTATCTCCAAATAATTAAATCTGATATTAGACATTGCACGCTCTACACATGGAATATCTAAATGACCCTGGTCAAAGACACTGGACTCTTGACAATTTCTACTCAAATCTATAGTACAAGCACTAACTTTGCTCAAAACACAAACAAAATGGCTATAGAACATGACTAGAGCAAGGACTGTCACAAGTACAAAAAGATAAGGCTTTGGGAAAGCTCCCTGTAAAACTAGGAGAGACTATTACTAACTTTCCAAAAGCCTGATACTTGACTTCTGTGACCTTTGTTCTATCCCACATAAAACAAAATCTCCTTCCTAAGGCAGCTGCCTTAGTGAAGAGTAAGCTGGTCTCCCAGTCTGCTCCTATGGTACACAATTAGAAAAATTATCTCCAAACACAAACAAAAAAAAAACCCCAAAAAACAAAAAACAAAACACCCCAACAAAAAAACAAACACACAGACAGCATTATACTGTTTCTAAGGTGATGCTATTTTAATATCCGTAGTTAGATGTTCTCTCAGGAGCTGCTGCAAATTTAGTAAGGCTTGACCTGAGAAAGAGCAAAAGGTCGTCTGGACGCTTCCAGGTACTACTTCTATGATACAAAATTTTCAGCAACAGGGCCATTTTTTGCTTTCTTGCATTACCTAATTGCTCTTCTGTCCTTCTATCAACTATAATCTTATTCAGTTTTGTAGCAGACTAAAAGACCAAAAGTTCTTATTTTCTTTATGCCAAGTCATTCTAAATGCCCCACTTATGCAGCTACTGAAATAGCCACTGAGAAGTGTCAGGGTACAGAATCATTGGCAACTAAAGAGAAATAAGCACTTCTGCACAAGAGGTAAAGTATCAGTCCTGAAGGTCCCACAACATGGAGCCCTGTCTTTTGATTTCACGGTAAAGGTGAAGCAAATGGAATTGTTTACTTTCACGCTGAAATGAACTATGGAGATTAATACAACCCATCCACAGAATGGTTGAGGTTGGAAGGGAGTTCTCTAAGTCACCTTGTCTACCCCTCAGCTCAAGTGGAGCAGCCTGGAGCTGGCTCCCAAGGACAATGTCCAGACATATCCAGTATCTCCAAGGATGGAGACTCCACAACCTTCCTGGACAATCTGACAGTATATAGTCACCCTCACCATGAGAAAGTCTATTTATCCGGATCTCAGTTATGCAGACAGGGATCTCCAGCTGAAAAGAGATGGCTTCTTAAGCCTTTCCTTAAGCTGAATCCAGAAGCATATATTTGCCCATGCACATTTATTCTAATATGTTACTCAAAGTGATAATTTTTATTTGGTGCTTTATTTCAGACATTCAAACTAAACCAGAGAGATGTACAGAGCATACAATTTTTACAGGCTTCATCTTTCAATGGTTTTTGAAATGTTCCTGTGGGTTTTGAGAAAAAAAAACAGAGTAGCAGAAGTATACTATGTTCCTACTAAATATTCCCATATTATTAGCACAAACCCCAAATACTTCATCCTTGAGGGATAGAAGAGATTATTATGGTAAGACCACAATTCTTCATACACCCTTCTTGTTTCTGTGGAAATCCTCCTAGATGGAAAAGTTTTAGCCACAAAAAAAATCCACGATTTGCAGAAGAACTTACTATTGCAGATCAAGGTTTCTGAGATATTGTGCATTTGCTGTAACCTTCATCCATTCCCAGAAACAGACCAGATGCCTAAGAGAGACTTTTAGTTCTTTAGCCTAAGGAAAAATGCATCAGGGTTGGTATCAGAATATCATGAGGTAAAAATTAACCACAACCAGAGATGGAAAAATATTTTATTTATTTTATAGGCCTTTTCCTCTGCAAGGCAAACTTTACAATCTCACTGTCACTAAAAAAAGACAAGCATCAGCTTCTTTTTACTACAGAACAGTTTCCTGAGGAGTCCACATGATAACTTTTAGCAACACTAAGAAAAACACTGAGAGATGGTGCAAACGATCCAGACTTTTTCAATGTTACTTGTTCCGGGTTCAGAAGCAAAAGTTCCTTGAAGCAGATGGCTGCGGATTTGGTTGTTTGTTTTGTTGTGGGGGATTGTTTGTTTGGGTTTTTGTTTTGTTTGGTTTATGTTGTTGTTTGTTTGTGATTTTTTTTAGTTTTGTTTTTTTTTTTGGGGGGGGGGGGTGGGGTTTGTTTTAGTTTCTTTGATTTTGGGGTTTTTTTAAATTTATATTAAGAAAACACGACTTAACAAAGCTGCAAAATGCTAGACTTTGGACCACATTTACAATCTACATTGAATCCTGACGGGACACATAATGTGGGGATACAGTGAATACACAAAAGAAGCACTATGTCCTCCAATGCTTCTTTGTGGCTCCACATCTATTGATGTTTAATTTCCACATAATAAAAGAGCTTGCATTCATTGCAACACTAGCTTGTGCTTCATGATATTAGGATCAAGCTCAGACACAAAGCACACCCAGTCACAATTCAGTGCACAGCTTCTGACCCACAGATGAGAACAAAGCTACCAGACACTGCGCGCCTTCTTAAACTGTTAAAACAGCAAACAGTGATGCAGTGTGCGCATGCCATGCTCCTCTTTTCTTCCCCATGGTATTTTTCTGTACCACACAAGTACAAGTTTCATCACACGAACATAAAACACATTAAAATTTAAGGTGGCCAGTTCTGAGATCCCAGCAGTTAAAAATAACTAAGGCCACAACATTAATTTGCTAGCTGAATCTCTATCCTTCACATATAACACAACGCCTTTTATTTTTATAACAACACAAGCAGACAGCATTGCTGGTAATTACTTTGGCATTCCTTGGCTCTTAAAAGTTCAAGTCTGACTTGCACTCTTAGCTAGAAGAGGAATGGCAGCCTTGAGCAGCAGGTATGATCGAAACAGGTATGTATTACACATATATTGCCTTACTCTGAAAACTATTTTTCTGTTCCAGCTGGCAGCTTTTGACAGTGCTCTAGGCAACAGGATAAGGGAGAAGTCTGAACTGAACCCTCTACACAAACAATTTGACTTCATGACCTTTTAAACATATGCAGTTACTGTTGAGGACCACATCATCTTTTCACAGATAACACATGAACTACAACAGATTTCCAATGAAAGGAATTACCTCCATATTCCTCTTCTCCTCCACACCAAATCTCACTCTGCATTTTGGTTCACCTTAGCTTTAATGCAGACTCAAGTAATTTTCTCCCATAGAGAGAGAAAGGGGTCAGCCAAGCAGAACTATATTGCCACTTCCTACACGTAATTAGGCCAGGACATTAGCAGTAAGAACATGTACAGACTGAATTACCTGCATCTGGGAATACATTCAAATCCTGCAGCTGCAGAACTGCAAATAGAGCATAAGGTATTATGCAGGTGCTCCACAGAAGGTATAACAGAATCCCTGCATGACAACAAAATCAGAGACACAGACAAATGGTGTCATGAAGGCAGTCAGAGAGCACTGCCTGGCAGCAGAAACCTCCAAGAGAATGAGGGCCCTGAACACTGGGCCCAGCCACACTGACATCAGTGAAAAGGCAGGCAGGAGGTCCTTGCCTCCTTGCCCTTCTGGTCACTAGCACAGCTAGGGAACACAGCAAAAGAAATACTGAAACAGCATCTGAAACTCAACGCACAGTAAAGCAAAACTCCTATTTTGAATTGACAGCATTTCCTTTATAAAGCAGGCTGGCTGAGTAAATGAAACATATAACCACACTTAAACTGTCTAGACACATAAACACACACACATACATATTTGTCAGCACTTCTATTAAATGTAATACTAGACAATCTTTCAGGAAACCCACCTTTCATTAAGAATTCAAATTAGTTATTTTATCAGTTATGGTACCTACATTAGTACCTGAGATAGTTACTTAATAGCTGAGCATTAACATTACATAACTACTGCAGAAAGAAAGAAAATTAAACTTCATGCCAGTAGCATTTGTCCCTCGTAACAGAGAGGAAAGCTCAGGACACGTGCAGACACTAGGACTTCTAACAACAACACATGCTGTATGAACACACATCATCAAAGCTGCCACAAGTTATGCATCTAAATAAAGGAGATTATTTCCAAGCCCTTCAGCAGATGTGGAAGATATTACAGAGTCATCGACACTTATGACCTGTGCAATGTCACCTTCCTCTCACACAATTTGCTAACAATAGGTGCCTATACTTGAAAACAAAACCATGACTCCTGATGGAATGTTATTGCAGCTGCAGGATATAGCTATAATTGCAAATGTCCCTCTGCTCTATTAAGAGGGTCTCTTGCAGGTCTTAGTGAAGGCTAACATTAGATTGGTATTACATCCCAACTCTGTATCAATTTCCTTAGTCAGGTCCAGGGCACAAACAGCAAGTTAATGGTAACAAAACAACAAACTGAATAGCTGAATATATTCTGCCATGTTAAGCTGGTGATTGGATACATGCTCCACTAGCTCCACTGGTAACCACAGGTGTCAACTGCTAAGTGACACCAAACAGAGAAAGAGAAAAGAGCAGTGCTGCACAGAAAGAGCAATTTTATTCTACAAGATTTCAGCAGCCTTCATTACAACTGCAGTGGAGAGCGCAAACAATTATTGAAATCCTAAAGCTGAGAGAATTAGCAGGGGTATATGGGATCCAGAGCTATTGACAAGAAGGAAAGATTTTGAAGCCACCAATGAATGGTGGAACTACTTGCCTAAGGTATAAAACCACTATAATTAGTGTCAGGATTGACATGTTTCACAATTGTTACTACTTAATTTTCAATACAGACATTTGTATAGCCCTGAGGTCAGACAGCCCAGCAAGGAGGGAAGGCTAACCGAAAAATAACCCTTAGGAAAACTAGTAGCACAGAGTGAGATCACTAGACACCTGAGAGCCTTTCTCACCCCACAACAGTCCAGACACATCAAAATACCTCTCTTCAGAAGGCAGTCAAACTGTTGGACAGCTCCTCTAAGCCATTACACTCAGTTTCCATTTGTTTTCCACTTTCACAAGGACATAGAGGAGAGAGAGAACTAATGAGTGAGGCAATCTTCAAATATGTACTTCACAATGAAAATTAAGTGAGATCTTGAAGGAACAAGATGGTATCTTGTTCTGCTGCCTTCCACAGCAGAAGCAAGACAAAGCAACCCTGCATAATCCTCTGAATTTTCATCTAGCCTTAGTCTGCCACAAAGAGTAGTTCAGAATCAATCTGTCTATCTATCTATCTTCTAGTATTTAACTACTTTTTTCCAGCAAGAAAACAGGTGACAGAAGAAAACTATCCAATGGGTGTACATAACACCAGTTTTGAGCTTTGTATGGAAAAAGCTAAACAAGCATTAGCAAACCGCCTGCAAAAAAGATATGTATAACTGCAGAGAAGTTGGTAGAAATCTTCTTCAGTTTGCAGAACCCAAATTTGCTACTGCTGACTGAAGGCCTGTGTGACAAAGTCGTGTGGTCTCAGTCGACTGCCTGGTTCCTTCAAGTGCCATTCTAGCAGGAAGCAATTACACACCTGCATGGCACAGCAGGTTCCAGCTAGGTACTGAGGCACAGGGGTAATATGCAAGTGCAGGTTGATGCTTCTGGATAAACTTGAGGAAATTAAAAGGAGAGGTGGAAGAAAGATTCTCACATAGATGGTCTAATCTGGATCACATAACTGCAAAGAACACATGAATGTATTTATTTTGCACTTTCTCAAGGTTAAAAATTACTATACTAAAACTATGAAAAGCTTTGCTATAGCATTGAGCTGCAACTAAAAGCAATTTTTTCCACTTATATTCTACATCCTCAAACTAAAAGGAAAAATTAATTGATTCAAAACACCATTGCTGAATTGCAGTTCTTAGGATTTTAAAAATTTTTCTTAAAGTGCCATTTTCTGAACTACAGTAATTATTAAAAAAGTTTCAATCTTCAGTAGGAAAAAAAAAAATCTCTCTCTACCAAAGAGAAAATCCCACAGTTTAGACCTACAAGATTCACAGTTTACACAGACTGGTCAAGACTTTAAATACTGCCCTTTTTTTTCTAAAGAAAAACTTCATGGGACAAAGTTATGACCACATTTAAGTCAGTGCTAGGATTTAGAAGATCTCTTTTATGATAACTTGAACTGTTGCAATTGTTACTACTGCTATTTAGTATCTAATACTTAAAAAAAAGAAAAAAAAAGAGACTTTTCTTGTAACGTGATCTCTACTTAAGCATCAAAGCTAGTATCTGCAGACTGGAGACCAACTTTTCAAACATACTATGCAGGAACCCCAGACACTGATCTCAGAAGTGCTGAATACAGAGATGATCATACTTCAAGGGAAATTGCAGGCACAATCTATCTTTGAAATGTAGAGGACAGCTGTCACATAAAACATGAGGTTGTCTCAAAAAAACCCCAAGTTTGTAACCTCAACCAAAGCAACACTAGCTACAGAAAGAGTTGCAAAAACATTATTGTCCAGTGCAATTTGCTGCACTGAAATTAACGACACTAACAGCCCTCACAATACAAACACTATGGAGAAAGACAGTGCAAAACTACTACATTAAAATTTAAGTTTTACTCTAGAAGTTCTCTGAACCCACTTCTGCGTTTTGCAAGCTTTCTGATTTATGACCTACAGGTGATAAATACTACCCTCATTAATGAACAAAGCACCACATAGTAGAAGAAATAACAGTCTGACACTTGAAGTCAAATGGATGCACTAGGATGTTAGGTAATGTGTTTTGTATCATGCTATGGTGCGATAAAACAAGACTTAGAGGTGCATCTAATTTATGAAAGCATTCAAAGCTCTTCACAGATTAATGGCAGTGACTGGATCAAGAAATATAAGCATTAATTTCAACTAAGTTAATTGACCATTTCTGAGATTAGAGTATTGAACACCCAGTGACTGCCTGAGATACAATAACACACACTGCAGGAAAAAAAAGCTTGCATAAGGGGCATGGATGCAACAGCAGATAGCCAGAAAAGCCCAAATCTTCCAGATGAAGTACATAAACATTCTCTCCATTTGTCTTGCTATTTTATCACCTTCAAGAAGAAATCTTTAGAGCAGTTGGATGTGGCAAATCCATTTCTAGACGTGGGGAAGTCTTTTGACCCACATGGCAATGGCAAGTTTTCATGCCCATTGTTAGTCTGCTTTCCTGTAGAGAAAAATCTTGCTTGAAAGATTTTTTTCACTTATGTACCCTTTAAGCCATTCACTGATTTCAACCAGAGAAGAACCGATTGCCAGAAGGTTCTCACGACTTTTGTAAAATAAGCTAGGCCAGAGAAGGCAAAACTGAAATTTGAACATCTTTAGGCTCAAACCTCATAAAATGTGCCATCCAGTTTCTATAATTGAAGATGGTAGCCCATGTGTCGTGAAATCAGTCCAGACTGTAGAAAGAGCATGGCAAAAAAAATGCAGAGGTACAGGGAAAAGACAATGAAAAAATCAGGTTTTGACCTCAAGACACAACTTTACAGAAATTTTAATTAACTCTGCTGTTCAGGAAAAAAATTACTTGCCTGTAATAAACGGCTAAAGCACATGTGCACACATGGACTCCCCTAAGATGCAAACTTCTGGAGCACAATCTCAGATAAGTGAGTACATTTTGCTTCTCTAAAATCCATCTGTATTTTACTAGGGAACCTTCTTGCAACACGCAAAACAATCAACAAACTGTAGAGAGGACAGATTTATCAAAGAAAATGCATCTGGACAGGAAACTACCTTTGAACTGCCTCTTCATCAAAATTAACTAGCTGAAAACTGGCACTAGCCTAACAACATTCATATTATCTCCAACTGGACTGACTCAATTCCAATCTGCTCAGTACAAAGTCACATCATCCTGAAAAATACTCAGTGGTCATACCCTGGCATCATTCAGGAAGATATTAGATGCTTAACAGGAAAAGCAACTGTATCTGCTGGTAAATTAGATTATAAATTTGTACAGAAAGATACCTTGTGACAGAAATTGAAAGCTAACTGCCTGACAGTAGGAAGGATTTCTCCCTATGGGTACAATATCCATTACAATGCTTTTCCTTCTCCACTGTCAGGAAATTGGAGACTGCTGGATATGCAGGACTTGTTCACAGCTCTACCTTTAACCACTGGTTTTCCATTAAGGATATACATTTAGTACCTAGCATACTAATGTATCAAAACTACCATACATAAACCTTTCCCACACACTTCCTTAAATTAAAGATCTGTAAGCAAATCTGTACCACTGGTATGTGTGGAAGCCCGCAGAAAGCCTTCTCCAGCATTACAGAAGGCACAGCTGGAAAGAGTCAGAAAGACTCCACCTGAAACAGATATTGTGCCTTTACACATGGGTAGGAGAGAGAATAAACTGTTTTTAAAGCATTCCTGATGTAAATTTCACTAGCAGGTTCAGAAACTTGTCCATGGTAACTCCTCCATTTCCATGCCACTGAAATTAGCAGCCTGCTTATGCAGCATCCAAAACCAAAGAGGTGAGGTCAAGTCTATGCAAAGCTAAACCAAACTATAGCATCTCCAGGTCACCAAAACTTTGTCACTTCATGCAGTTTTTTAAAATTGACAGAATTACAGCTCACTGATACACAGCTAGTGAAGATGAAGCAGCTTAATAGTTGCATGTGTTCTCTATGGAACCTGAAGTTTTCAGAAGTGTTACAGAAGCACTCGTCCAACCCTCTACCACAGCATTCCCCAAAGGAAATGGTGGGGAAAATACTAAACTGGGCAAGCAACCCCCGCACACAGCATCCTCCACAGACCACCATGACCATGATTCCACTTTTCTTAAATAATGTAAAATACAGACTATACTGCATTCTCCACTGCCTTGTGCTTAGGGAAAAGCTTCAGCCCGAGAAGCTTGTACACACCACTCTCATCTTACCTGCACCACTCAGACCCACAACATGCTGAGCAGCTGACCTCCCATCAGCTAAGCTACCAAAATGAGTATAGACCTATTAACTCTGTATTATGCTAGGTTTTTAGAGATTCAGATTTGGCTCAATGCAATGTCTAACTGTGAAACGTAAACTGCAACAGTCAAATCTTTTCAAACACAAGGATATTTACATGATACATACACTATACATGAAAAAAACATCTCTCAAAATTGTGTGGCTGAGGATCAATCTCCAACTACAAGACATTGCAAAGGCAAAAACAAATAAAGAACCTACCCCAAAGAGTTTAATATATCAACTCCACTGTCTTGTCATGCAGTCAGTGTGAGGAACATGAGGGTGTTCCTACAGTATAAACAGAAAAGGGAGGAAGAGAGGGCAAAACAGTTTGCATTTCATTTTGTTCCCTCAACTATCTGACTGTTCTGCAATAGGCACCTGAAGGGGGTCAGGAGAAGGATGGAATTGTTTCTGTATAGCAACCATAATGCAGATAACACCCAAAACTGCAGTGATACAAAAATCACATATAGTGCTTTCTCCTGTGTAAGCTCTGTTCTACTGCTCAGAATGCAATCTAACAAAGCATTTCACATACTACACATTAGCACCATTCTCAACAGGCACATAAATACATGTCAGGGCTGTAACAAAAACACACTTTGACAGAAGACTGGAGGGCAGCTTGGCGAGAGTAATATTCTTACATTCCTTGCATACATAAATATCAATAAATACACACACAGAGAGAACAACTTAAAGCTATGATTTCTCATCTCGAATCACACACAGCTAAATGCACAGGAACACCTAAGAAATATCCTATCAAAACTGATCCTTCATACATAAACACTTCTTTTTCTACACGTACATAAATAAATACATCTATCTGCCCACACACAGACGTTTCCCCAGAGCAGCCCGCTGTTGTATCTCCCCACGCTCCCGGCCTAACAGGTCGCACAGGATACACACTTGGCTTCGGGTCCCGCAGCCGCGGGAGTCAAGGAGTGAAGGAGAACTCCCTGGAAGCGGGTGGCTCATCGCTACCGCTGTCCCGCAGCCTTCCAGCCCGGCGTTCCCAGCCGTGCCAGAGCTCCCTCCCCACCCTCGCCCAGGCCGCGGCGGCGCTCCCACCTCCTGGCGACCCTACCGAGCAGGGGGCCGGAGCCGGCGCGGCCCCGCCGCCCCTCCTCGCTCCCTTCCGCGGGTGCTGTGTGCCGGGGGCCGGGGCCGGGCCGGGCAGGGCAGGGCGGGAGGTGCCGCCACCGCCTCCTGGCCGCTGCTGACTCAGGAGCAGGCGCCGTCCCTCCACGCCGCTGCCGAGGGGCGGCCGCCGCCTTCCGCGCAGGATCGCTGCCCACAGCCGCGCCGGGCACGCACCGCCCGCGCTGCGGGAGCGGGCCGCACCTGCGGGCAGCCCTGAGCGCAGCACGGCAGCGCTGGGAGGCGGCCCCCGGGCAGGGAGGTGCCGTCGGTCCAGCACCATCCCAAGAGGGAGGGCGGGGGGCCGGTTGCAAAGGGAGGTGCCCGTCTCCATCTTGAGGAAGGGGCGAGCGGGCGGCGCAGCCTCCTCGGCACGGGGACTGGCACCCGCTGCTGTCCTCCCCGCCCGGCGGGACCGTGTAGAACCGTGGCACCTTCTACGGTCGTGCACCGACAGGGCTTCTACTGTTCCATGGACGCGACCTGGAGATAGAGCCGCGAGAGGTCTCCCAGGTGTGAAGACCTAAAGCAAAGGTGTTGAACCAACAAGCTGTAGGGGAAGGCAGCCGCGCCCCCTGCCTCACGCCGCTTTGGGTGCCGGGGGTCCGAAGGGCGACCACAGTACTGCTGTTGGTCTGCTAAGGTGGGATCCCACACACAATCCCTGCCTGCAGGTCTCCCTACTTTTGCCACCTGCGCTGCTTTTCGCTGCTCTGTTTCCACGTGCAGTGTTTTGGGGACACTGGTAGATTTGCTGGTAGGGATTCCGCACGGTGACTGCAGCAGGAGGACAGCACCTGTCAGGCATGAGCTGCACTGGGGCGTGCTCCCCAGCTCACACATCCTCGTTCTACCTTCCTTCTGATCCTCACCTTTCAATTTTCTGATAAACATTGGCTGGGGAGCCAATGCTGCTCATATGTCAAAGTCCCACATCCTAATGGCAAATATCTCTGTTGGAAGCCTCTACGAGAGAACCCACAGCTTATTCAGAACAGCTTTTCAACAAAATATTTAGCTTGTCTCTGTCTTTGATTTTGCTTTAATTCTTGCCACATTGCCATTTTCTGTTTGCAGTCAGAGCATGCAGAAATGGTTTGATTGCTTCCTTGATTTTTACAGCTCCACTCCAAAATAATAGATCCATTTGATTTGGAAAGAGGCATTTTTCTACTTAACACCAAAGTCCATGTGACATAGAGAAGTGATTTAAGTGTATCCACCTCAGCAACATTTTAGAACAAGCAATTTCACTTTTAAGTGAAATTAAAAAAAAAAAAAAAGCAATGAATTTCAGACTTGCAAAAGTTCCATGCTGTTTTGCACCAGCTTAGCAAGGTCCCAGATCCTCTGTTCCACCTGTTAGTGATGCTACTGAATTGCCAAGATCTGCTCTGTCTTTAATTAATTACCAGTGCTTGACTTGGGGTAAACAGTGTTTTGCAGATACTACAGGATGCTAAATAAATAAATAAATAAATAAAGCATTTTAAAGATGTAAAAATGTAATCTCTTGAGTGAACATCAGCTTTTACCTCCTCATCTTATTCCCACCTTACCAACTGTATTCAACAATGGTCTGTTATGATATTTCCTGAAGCTACGTATGTCTTCCTTATGTATGGGAAGGTCGTGACTCATGTGCTTGCTTTCTAAAGTAAGGAATGATATATCGGAATTGTAATAGTGGATTGCTTTTGAATATATATGAAGGGGTCTAAAGGAACTGTCTGTTGACATTTAAAAAAAAAAAATTCTGTGTTCTTGTGCTAATTTTGATTCCACAGTTTTTGTGATTTCTGCATGTTGGCTGTTTTGGCCAGCTTAGGGAGTCCGAGTTTACTCACTTAAAGTAAAAAGTGTCATGTGAATTTCTAAAACATGTTCTAATAACAACACAAAAGGAAGAGAATACTTATTATTTCCATTGTTGACCAAGTCTACTTGACTTGGAAGAGGATGTGTGTGCAGAGAGAGGAAGCCTGGATATCTTTCCTTTGTGGCAGCCCCGTTTCTCATGCCTTGAAGCCTTCCTGTCAGCAGTGGGACTCGATTTACTCACCCAGTGGCAGAAGAAAATTGACCTCCAATGCTTCATATGGTTGTGTGATCTAATTTTACTGACTGCCACCAGATATAGTGGCACATTTTTTTTTTTTTTAATTGTTTTCTCTGCTGGAAGGAATATTCACTCAATGTTAGCACTTTTTGAGGGATCTGTGCAGGTATACAAAAAGCTCCTTAGCGCAGCACAAGCTTAGGGACACAAGTCTTCTGCATGTCCTGTCAGGAGGTTCTTCCCACTGTCTTAATTAAAACAGGGTGAAAAGGATGAAAGCAGTAACCGTCCCTGTTTGCCTTCCCTGCGTGGGGGTAGCCGATCCAGTGCCCTTGACTTTCCAGATTGTCTTCTCCACTGAGTGATCAAGATGCAGCTACTCCTATGCAAACGCAAAGGAATCAGAGCAAAGGGCTCCTGTTCGAGAAACCCAGCAGCAGCACCTGGTGCCTGTTCTGCTGTCAGTCTGCAATCTCCAGAAATGCTATGAAATGGCTAAACAGATCATGAAGGGAGGTTTGCTGCAGATGGGTGAGGCTAAGAAGGTATTTTCTTGCTGAGTCTTTCTTGCTTTTTTGTATAGGCAAGATAAATTAATAGGCTTAACCCTCCCAAAATAATACTCTTAGCATGCTATAATGCTATTTCAAAATAATTAAAATTTCAATATATAGCCTTCTAGGTAAATTATTGATCTGGTGACCTCTGACCTCTGCCTTCCCACAATAAGTGCTTTCATTTATCAGACAAAAGTCTTGTGAAGCTGTCATCACCCAGGAGAATTAACTCAGTGCCAGATATTCGGGTTCATTTTGAAGTCTGCCTCTGACATGCAGGTCCCATCACTGCCAAATGGACCTTATCAGTAGCTTCTTCTTGTGTCAGGGAAGCCCTGATCTGAGACATAACAGAAAATTATGATGATATACAGGAGGTCCCTCCCACCACAGGGGGCTGGCACAGCCCTTCCAGTCACCCTGCACCTTACTCTCCTTCCCCTTTTCAACTGGTTTGCTAAACCAGCTGCTAGGAAGTTTTCCCTGTGACATCTGTTTCAAAAGAAAGATGTTTGAGACATAGGCCACTTAGGTCACATTAATTAGCCCTTATTAAATTGTGTTGCACTTTTATGAAAATAACCTTTTCCCACCTCCCATTTAAATAGGTAAAATAACCTTTTCCCACCTCCCATTTAAATAGGTAAAATAACTTCATCTGTTTCAGTTCAAGGAAGTGTCTACCAACACTGGAAAAGAGGGTAATATTCACCTTCAAGGTACCTGAGACTGATTTTTTTTTTTTTTTAATTATTCATCAATAATTGTAAAAGTTTTTGAAAGCTGGAATGAGGTGAGTTCCCCGGGCCACATTTGTCTACTGTGTCAGTTGTTCTTACATGTCATTTCTACTGTCAGCCCAGGTAAAGCTTCTGCCTTAACCAATTGTGTCTGAGTAGGTTTTTATTGGCTTCTCTGTTCCAGCAGTGACATTATCAAGAAATCTAATAAAAGTGCAAAAGGTGAGAGTGACATCCTTTCTTTCTGTTGTTGAAGTATGCTATGTTTCATTGAGGTAGTCTATACTGTTTCTGTGTTCCTTAATCAAAACTGTAGTTTTACAATATTTCTGTATGTTTTTAAGTCCATTTATTGTCAAGTATGCATGAATCTGTAAGTAATGACAGAGTAATGATCTTACCATGGGTTGTTGCAGATGCAGTATTACTTTTATTTCAATTGTAATGTAACAACATTCCTGCCTACTGCATCTTCCATTTAAGCCTCCCGTTTTCTCAGCCTTACTGAAATGACAGCCTCTTTGTAAACAAATTTTTGTTACTTACATTTTGCATTATTTTCTATAGTTAAGATTAGATTATATTGAATAGCTAAGAGCCCAAATGTTCTTTAGATGTATACTTTTAATCATGATAAAATAATTTCTTGTTATTACTGTGGATTTGATTCTCCCCCCGCCTTTTTTTTTAATCCATCTAATTATTATTTACGTCACAGTTGTTTAAAATTTCCTTATTTTGTTATATCTCTTCTGTTTTAGTAATTTTAGGCTATTTTCATGTGGAAATGTTTAAAGATTTGCCTGGATTCTCAGAAGATTCTCTGCCTGGATTGCTTTTCTTGATATGTAAATCAAAGTATTAATAAAATAATGATTCTGACCATATGGAATTTTATCAAGGTTCTTTGTAGTTTCTGATTATCAATAGGAGATAACCACTTCATTTTCTTATATTCCACGTTCATGTAAATCCTTTGTGATGGACTGTTTCCATAATATCGGATCACTGATTCAGGAAAAGAATTCAAATTCTAAGTTGTAGCCTAATAAATATTTTGTTAGGTTTTACATTTTTTGTTTTTTATAACATTAAATATTTTTACACATATTTAAATATGGTGTTTTCTTACCAGTTTGGGTTGCCATATTCAACAGTTATTTTGCCTTTTACATCAGTGTAGGAGGTAAATTGAGGTAAGGGCTCTGTCGCTTGACTGTCAGTGATTTTGGTACGTATTAAGTGGTTTAAAATGTATTTAATTAAAGATGTAGTTCTTGCTTAATATTCAATAGTCAATAAAACATTTAGCATTTATGCCATTTTTTAAAAATATGATTGCTTTATTGTAGTTCAAAAAGATTTTTAAAAGCTGGTAAGATTTTCTCACTCTAGAAGAATGACAAAGCACTTAATTGCACCAAATATAATTTTCTTTTTGCCTTTCTTTGCAATTAGAAAAATGAATTGTCTCTTACAAAGTATTATGACTTAGCTTGTACCTAATAAAAATATTACATCCCCACCCACACACTCTTTCAAAGGTGAAGAAACACAACTGATCAAAAGATGGAGCAGTTAGCTCTAGAGATGGATCTGCAGCTTAGGCATGATGCAAAGTCACTGAAAGTTCTGAAACCTCTTTTTTCTTTTCTTTCTTCTCCAAATTAAATACCTGTCCTACAATATCAGCCATTAATATCATATTTTCCTTTCTTTCAAAATAGTCCAGAAGTTGTTGGCATTGTCACTCACAACCAGATGTAGGAGAACAGGGAACACTTGCTTTGTCAAAGTTACAGATGTAGAGGGATGACTGGTGCAGAAGCAATTCCTTAAAACTTCCAGTAAATATGAACTGAGATTGTGAGTTTTAGCTAGACTG